TTTTTCTTGACCAAAATGACCGGGCTTGCGTACTCGGAATTCGACTCCCTAATAATATTTTTGTCTAAGAGATCCTGGCATATCTCGCGAACCTTAAGTTTTTCTTGGTATGACAAACGATATGGATGGTATGCCACAGGTACGTCACTAGTAAGTTTAATGTGCATTTTGCCAGTTTTAACAGTAGTGGTGGCAGTACCCGATATTAAAAACGGAGAGAATTTATCTATCGCGGTCAACAACTTAACGAGTTCTGCTCCTTCGAGAGGCGTATTTATTTTTTCAAATCCGTTAAAATGCACAGCATTTACTTTTGGTACACTATCTGGCGTATGAGTTAGGTACTGTCCGTGTTTTGTGCGAATAAACGTGACGCCATCGCGATTTAATACATCAGTCCCAATAATTAATAAGAGGCGTATTCATACATGACGCGGGTACTATAACAAAATCTACTTCGAGCGCGATATTGCTAAACTCGACAGTTAGTGTGATGTATTCTCGAGTTACTATCTCTTTATCACTTATTCCTTTTAAGGAGCATTTTATATTTTTACGCGGACCCGAAAAGTAATTCTTTACCGCAGATGATATCAACGATACATTGAGTGCACCACTATCTATAAGGATATCAACCGGTATACCCTGTATCACAGCTGTACTTATATCGTTGCTATTTTTTGCGGTAGAAAGTTCGTTACAAAGGTTAACTTTACGTTGATTATTACCTTGAGACTCAGTTCGAGCCTTTGCGAAACAGTCAGTCTCTTTATGTCCTACCTTTTTACAAAAAGTACAGACGGGCTTAGCATTACTGCTAGTATCAGCTTTAGCATTAATATTACGCTTCTTGGGGCATTTATCTTTATAATGCCCTGTTTGACCGCAATAAAAACATTTGTTTTCAGTTCTAGGTCCGTTAAAATTACGTCTTTTAGTCGTATTACTCGATGACGGAGTTTTATCGAGGTTACGATTATCAACTTTACGAATAGGCTTTACATAAGTAGCTAAAAAGGAAACTAGGTTTTCTGTCGTTAGGTCAGCATTAATTGCGCCTGCGCGTACTTGGATATCACTAATACCGTGAACAACTATTTGAACAATTAGTTCTTCGCTTAACCCTTTTACTAAACGTAACCTCAATAAAGAACGACGAGCATACGACGAAAACTTGTCGGACGTAGTATTTATAACCTCATGAAGTATTTGTGCGTAATTAATTTTTTGCGGGCACAAAGACTTAAATTCCTTAACAAAATTGGACCACGAACGATCATTTGTAGCCCATTCGTTTAACCAGGTTTTTGCGTCACCTTTCAAACAATGAGCCACACGCGAGAAACACTCGAGATCATCCCAATGGTTGTATGTACCTAGCCCTGTCCACTTCATTACACCACATCTCAAAATTGTTTACAGCTGGATCAAAATTAGAAACATAATAACTGTTAGACTTATTTTTTGTCAATGCCCCTAACGCATTAACCAGCGCTTGCGTTGTGGAAATATTACTTTTATGTAACTGAGGTGTGGTGTCACGAATTGACGGCGTAATACGCGATCCACTAGCGGTGTTCTCCTCAATTGCTGTCAGTCGCGACATAATAGTGCCTAACACACTTTTCACGGAATCATCGCGAGGGTGGGACCGAGATCTACTACGGCGACGATGTGAGCGACTGCGACGTGGCCGCGAATGGGATGCGTCGCTACGTGAACGCGAGCGACTCCTGTCATAACGCGAACGCGAACGGTTCCTACTATGCCGTACGCGGCATTCTTAATTGAAATTAACGGCTGTTTGTGTAGGTACAAAAGCTAATAATAATTGTGAGCAAATAAGTTGGATCCCACTTCTGATTTTGGCAATCACAAGGGAAAAAAAAATAAAAAAAGAATACTTCAAACAATCTAAAGGTACTTTATTTCAGAATAGACTTAATTTTAATAACATTTTAATTAATGATCAAAATTCGAGCAATCACTTACAACCGTTAATATTCAAAATAAGAAGCACATATAAAACCACTATAGAACAAAATATGGAACGAACTTACTGCGAGGTAGCGTGGGCACCGACACTATTACTATCTGACGACTGAGCAGCAAATTACCCGTACTATAGCGAGTGCTCGTTTTTATACTAATTGGTGGGTACCACCACTACCAACAATAAGTTTGTCTCACAATAAATATTAACTTGAACGGCTTTGAGTTTGTCTTCTCTTGTTGGAATTGGGTTTGTATTGTTCACGAACAGTAGTGGACACATCAATACTGCGGTCATAATCTATCTATCCAAATATAATAATAATAAATAATAATAAATAGTATTTATTGCCATAAAAACAGTAACAAATGTTAACAGAATCAGTAAGGCTTAAAGTAACTTATGGCAATGGGTAATAACTCAGATAATGCTGCTAAGACCTAAATCTCAAGCAGCGCTGATTTTCAGTTACACCCAGCTCCCTAGGGTGTTGAGCGGGAGCAATGCAAGAGGACTATTCCTCCAGTTAACCTCTACAAGATTAAAAAAAAAAGTAATGAAAACAAAAATAAAATTTAAAAAATAAAAGTATTTGTGCGCGCGTGTGTGTGTTTGTGTGGTATGTGTGTGGTATGTGTGTGTTTGTGTGTGTATGTGTGCGTGTGTGTGCGTGTGTGTGTGCGCGTGCGTGTGTGTGAGTGTGCGTGTGAACGAATATATGTGTATATTAATGTGTATACGTGCGTGCTTGTATGTGCGAGTAAATAAGAGTACAATAGGATGAATGTATAATAGCTTATTAAAGCAAGTATAATAGTAGGGCAGCCCACGATGCTTAATGGGGATTTCCTCGAGCGTCGTAGAGACCTATTGGGATGCAAAGCTTAGATGATAAGAAGAAAAAAATGTTATATGATATATACCTTTACATCGGTGGGGGAAGCGGCTATAGATTTTTAAATATGTAAAAAAAAACTGTTGCATAGACATCCTCGAGCGCGTCAGATATTGATAACATCAATGCCCTACGTATTTTTAATAATGTACGTATGTTAATCTGATCGTTTGCATGATGCGGGTGGTTGTATTTAAGGGTTGAAAATGAAAAAAAAAAAAATTAATCGAGCGCGTCAGATTTTCTAAGGGAGTGTTAAGTGCACCAAAAAAAAGCTCTCATTCACTAATCTGACGATTTCGATGGGACGCAAACTCGCGGCCATTTTCATAATGTGCAAAAAAAAATCGCCATTTTGAAATACTCAAGCGCGTCAGATTAAGATATATATGGTTCATCTTTATGTTCTAAACGTACTGTCTCATAATCTGACGATTATGTAGAGGGATTCGCCTGATCTGACGAAAAAAAATTAGAAAAAACGGTTCACCTTAAAGGCCATACCTGCAACTTCCCGCTAATTCCATTCCTGGGCGCTTAAAATTGTACTTATGACATTTTGAGCTCAAAATATAATTTATGTGATATTTTGAGCTCGCTGAGTAGTCATAGTCAAAGAAATAATATTTCTATGCATTTGAGCTCTCCCAGCTCGAAAGTCTGATAGAAGTTTCATAGAACTTTTGGATTGAAGAAGAATTTTTGGATTTTTCAATAGATCAAGCAAATCATTGTCTGTCGATGTACCAGCAACCTCACTAGACAAAGAATCAACAGTACCACGTGCTTCGGAACACTCTCCAGAATCAGGAGCATGTGTGTTCGGAGCTATTTCCCGAAACTTCCGGTGTATTGTCATGTTCCACTACACTTTGATTTTGTAAATACTGAAAGTCTCGCGGTATTTTAATTGCAGTAAATAATTTATAACACTGTGCGTGATATAAATCATTTAATGATGATTCCATCGACAATTCGAGTTTATCATATGTTCCTCGAGACTTTCGGATAACCCGCTTGCTCCGACGATATTCCAAAATATTTACACATTTTTTAAAGTTTCTACCGTAAATTTAATTGTTTTTGTAAGGTACTTTCACCACAAAATACACATTTCAAATTAATGTCACTCATATTAAATATTTATAAACTTTAATTCACACAAATAATATTAAAATAGCAAAAAAAGCCAAAACGTTGGAAACACGTTGTAAACAGTATGCCACGAACGAGTCTATGATCAGCTGTGATGGCGTCATGGCGGCAGAAACCAGAGTGGGGACGGAGTGAGAGAGTAATAGATAGAGAAAGAGTGAGAGAGGAATAGACACGCGTAGAAGGAAATGTAGGCATCACGCAGCTGCACGCATTTAACTTTATCGACGAATTTTTGTTATTTCGGCTTGCGGAAATCGTCAGATTATATATTTTTCATTATTCTTGAATTATTTCCTTCAAAATAAAAAAAAATTTAGCTACGCTCGAGAATGTCGAGATGACGTTTTTTTTTACAACTTTGTTGCCCTCCCCTTTTTTTACGTCACTCTCAAATTGTCAGATTAGTGAAATATACACTTTTTAGGATGTAATTAACTCACCCTACCTTAATCTGACGCGCTCGAGAATTTCTGATGGTCAATTTTTTTTTTCTAATCTGATCCTGTATCCTTCACGGGCGGCCTTATATATGGGCCTCATGTTTTGTGGAGGTACTTAACCGGGTACAAGGTATCCCCCTGTATATTAATCTGCCGCGCTTTAGTAAATCCCGAAATCCCCGCTTGGGCTCCACTACTATAATGATTATTATTAAAAATAATGTTTTAGGCTCATTTCTACTGTATAGGAGTACTTCAAGTCTTCTGCAACAAGTTGCCTTTTTAATAAGGCTTTTTTGTATAGTTTCCTAAAGCTACTTGCACTAACTTTAAGCCGTAATGGTGGGGGAAGATCATTCCATATTCTTGCTGCAGCAAACTTAAAGCAACCTCGAAAGCGTGAAGTAGCGTGAGAGGGTATTTTTAGTAGATTACCTCTGCAAGAGCGAAGACTTCTAACTCCATCTTTTATCCAGGTGAGTTTTTCAAACAAATATTCTGGTCTTTTATTCTACAACACTCTTTGAACCAAACAAGCGTATCGTAGTTGCATCCTTGCCCTCATGTTTAGGATTCCTTTACGGTTTAGGTATGGGGTTATATGTTCCCTTCTGGGTATGTCGTAGCAAAATCTCATACATGCATTTTGCACACGTTGGATAGCTCTATGCGTGTATGAGGTTATTCTAGGGCTGAAGACAGAACTGCAGTAGTTAAAATTAGAAAGCACAAGTGAATCTACGAGCATCAGACGTAAATTTTCTTTTATGTATGGCCTGATTTTGTACAAAGTTTTGAGTTTAAAAAACGCATTGCTTTTGAAGGGTGGTGGTGAGATTCACCATTCAAGTACCTATCTGTATGGGTCTTTTTTCGATACACTGTATGACTCAGGGTGTTATCTGGTTTACGCATAACTAATACATCTAAGAAAGCTAAAGAATTATTAGACTCCAGTTCCATTGTAAATTGTATTTTAGGGTTTATGGAGTTAAGATGTTCTAAGAATACAGAGATTTTATCAGATGGTAATATTGTGAAAGTGTCATCTACATACCGCTTGTAGAAACGAGGGGTCACAGGTGATGTTCTTAGGGCAGTCTCCTCGAAGGCCTCCATGAAGATGTCAGCTACAACGGGAGAGACTGGCGATCCCATGGCCACTCCATCCACTTGCTTGTAGAATTCATCATTCCACAATAGATAGCCAGATGTAAGGCAGTGTTTCAAAAGTTCAGTGTATTCTTCTTGCATGTTATTGTCCAGTAGCTTCCTTGATACTATTTTGACACAGTCCTCTACTGGTAGGCTGGTAAATAGAGACTGTACGTCAAAACTAACCATCGTTTCATTGTCCATGAGTTGTAGGTGTTTTATCTCATTAACAAAATGGTGAGAGTCCTTTGTGAACGCTGATGTTTGTCCTCTGAGTGTTGAGAGTACTTTCGCTACTAGTTGGGCCAATTTATAAGTTGGTGTGTCAATTTGACTTACAATTGGACGTAGCGGAGCGTTTGGCTTGTGTATCTTTGGAACACCAGAAAGTTTAGGCGGCTTTGCACAAGATGGAATAAGGTTTTTAACATCAAGATTCAATGCGTCGGAGTGTTTCTTAATTAACTTTTTTGTATTATTTAAAACAGTGGTGGTTGGGTCTGTTTTGACCTTTTTATATGTACTTTCATCCGACAAAAGTTGTTTAATTTTGCCATTGTAATCTGATGTATCCATCACGACGGTGGCATTTCCCTTGTCTGCGCGTAGTATGATAATGTCTGACCTGCTGCGTAAGTTCTTCAACGCTAAATACTGTTGTTTGTTGAGATTAGGTTTGGGCCTTGAACTACGACGTAACAAAGATGAAACATCTTGACGTATGGCCTCCATATCCTCAGATTTCATAGTATTTTTGGCCAGGGCATCTTCAACTGCACAAATAATGTTCTTATAAGGGATGCGTGTCGGTGCAACAGCAAAATTTAAGCCTTTACTTAGTACTTGAATAGTAGATTCGTCCAATGTTTGTTTTGACAGATTGACAACTGCTTGACGTACGCACGAATTTGAAACTGTGGTAGACGGGCGCGTTCCGTAATTGTTTTTGGTTTTCTTTTTGATGTTATATTTTTCGACTAATTTTTGATATTTTAATATATGTTTGTTTTTGCATTGGTTAAATTTAGATGTTTCGCGCTTATTTAAAGTTTCAATGCAATCATTGAAATCACTTGGTGTCAATACCACAACTAACTTGACACTAACTACCGAGTCAGTAGAATCATTTTCATCTAAAATAGCGCTACTGTCGCTAGACGTCTCGGCGCTAATATTGCCAGATGTCTGGTTGCTAGCTCTAGAAACATTTAAAAAGTGTAACATGTCCAAGTATGGTGTCTTGCGTTTTTTTGTTGCCCCACTTCCGCTTTTGACTGAGGAATCCTTATTTTTTTCTCTGGTGTGATAGTCGCGCAAACCCTTCCATTTTTTTTGTAGGTCTTTTACTGAAACAGAAATAATCGGTAGTTCAATATTCTTTCCAGATTCCTGTCAAGTGGACTAAGTTACAGAAAAATTGCACAAGAGTTTCTTGTTGGAAAATCGACGGTATCGAAAATTATAAGTGAAACTGCATGCATTATATGGGATATTTTACAGCCACAGGAAATGCCGGAACCTTCTGAAGAATTGTGGCTAGAAATAGCAACACGATATTACAAAAAAACCAACTATCCTAATTGTATAGGATCTATCGATGGCAAGCATATCCGTATTAGAAAACCACCAAAAACTGGGTCTAACTATTTTAATTATAAGAAGTTCTTCTCAATTGTTCTGTTAGCCGTAGCAGATGCAAACTGTTCTTTTATAGCTATTGATGTAGGTGCTTGCGGACGAAATGCTGACAGTAATATATTTAAAGAAAGTGGTTTTGGCAAAAAATTGCCTAATTCAAATGGATTGCCCCAACCTTTCGTGATTCTTGGAGATGAGGCATTTGGATTACAAAAGCATATCTTGAGGCCTTTTCCTAATAAAAGTTTAAATAAGGAAGAGCGAATTTACAATTATCGTCATAGTCGAGCTAGGAGATGCGTGGAATGTGCATTCGGCATCCTAACAAGCAAATGGAGAGTTCTGCATACACCGATCGCTACTAATGTGAATACAACCATCGCTATCGTAAAAGCTGTTTGTATTTTACATAATTTTGTCATAGCAAGAGAACAAGCACAATATGCACATATTTCGCGACGTACCTCAATAACTCTTACAAGTTCAAGGAGCCAAATTATTACTATATCAAAGTCTAGAAAAATAGCAAGAGAAAACTTTAAAAACTATTTTCTTGACGAAGGAAAGCTACCCTGGCAAGAGAAATATTTGTAAGTTGTAGCTACAGGAAGAAATAGTGTAACGGAGTGTGTAAAGCCGTAAATACTACGTAAAGTATGATACTTTGTTTTATGTAGTGAGTGATACAAGTATATTGTTGAATAAATAATAAATTTATTAGAATGGAACTTACTTCTTTTTTGTTTAGTGTTTTCTTCTAAGTTTTGCCAATCATCGTATATAATATCAGCGACTTCATTCCAATTGCTCTGCTTTAATACTCTGTTGCTGTATTCTTCATTTGACATGTTCCATATGCATGGTCTATTCTGTATTTCACTAATGAACCTTTCCGTATCAAAGGACATCTTGGATTTTCAGTGATGTGTGTGTGCGTTGAGATTAGTTAGGTGCGATGCAAAAAAACACGTCCTAACACGATGATAGCTTTTTTCCAACTATCCGAATAATCAGTTTGCGGCAAACTGAGTCACTACGCCCGGCGAACAACCAATCGCCGCCGCCGACTGGAACCGGTTTTGGTGGGAGTCGGCCGCTCACTAAGATAGTCGACGCGCGTAACGCTGCAAACTGCGTACAGTGAGCGCAAAACTAGCAAACTGTGAACACTCCATTTGAAATATATGGAAGGGCGTACTAAACCGATACGCCGCTAACTCAGTCGGCGGCTAACAGTTTGCCTACTGGGGACGCAGCCTAACTTAATCAGATTGCTTCAATCTATTTCTAATATATTCAGTCTTTATTTTCATTGACAAAACTTACAAGGAAAAGCTTGGGTACCTACCCGCATACATAAACAATAAATGAATTTGGTATTTAATCAGGTATTTCTCAGGTACGCCGATATTTATGAGCAATAATAACACCCTCTTGGACTAAATTATATTTTTCTTTCCTTTACAATTTACGTTCAATCATATAAAATCCGTAAGTACGTAGTATCAAAATGAGGTAATCAGTAACACTTAATAATAAAATATATATTCAGTCATTATTCGTCCTATTTAATGAGATAATATACTATTTACTTATCACATTTGAATAAGGCACATCTTTACACTCGCATGTTCTTGATCAAAAGCCTATCATTTAAATTATTTTTTTTAAACGGAGAAAACATTAACTAATTTAATATCTATCAAACAAAATCTAACATAGGAAACATAAAAACATTCAACAGAAACAATAAATCTTATGAAAAGAAAATAGTAAAAAAATATATTCTTCAGGCTCTCAACTTTAATGAGATTCTACAGAGTCCTCGTTTATGGTAGGGGAGCCCACGAAGCTAAATGGGGATTTACTCGAGCGTCGTAGAGACCTATTGGGATGCAAAGCTTAGATGATAAGAAGAAAAAAATGTTATATGATATATACCTTTACATCGGTGGGGGAAGCGGCTATAGATTTTTAAATATGTAAAAAAAAACTGTTGCATAGACATCCTCGAGCGCGTCAGATATTGATAGCATAAATGCCCTACGTATTTTTAATAATGTACGTATGTTAATCTGTTCGTTTGCATGATGCGGGTGGTTGTATTTAAGGGTTGAAAATGAAAAAAAAAAATTTAATCGAGCGCGTCAGATTTTCTAAGGGAGTGTTAAGTGCACCAAAAAAAAGCTCTCATTCACTAATCTGACGATTTTGATGGGACGCAAACTCGCGGCCATTTTCATAATGTGCAAAAAAAAATCGCCATTTTGAAATACTCAAGCGCGTCAGATTAAGATATATATGGTTCATCTTTATGTTCTAAACGTACTGTCTCATAATCTGACGATTATCTAGAGGGATTCGCCTGATCTGACAAAAAAAAATTAGAAAAACGGTTCACCTTAAAGGCCATACCTGCAACTTCCCGCTAATTCCATTCCTGTGCGCTTAAAATTGTACTTATGGCATTTTTGAGCTCAAAATATAATTTATGTGATATTTTGAGCTCGCAGAGTTCAAAGAAATAATATTTCTATGCATTTGAGCTCTCCCAGCTCGAAAGTCTGACAGAAGTTTCATAGAACACTATTTTTGGAATTTTCAAACCGCAATAACTTTTGAATAGATCAAGCAATTTTCACGCGGTTGACGGCATTCGACGCAGTTTTATCATCCTCATAAGTTATTTTCAGGTTTTAATTGATCGAACCAAAAATTTCGGAGTAATCCCGAAAAAACACTTTTTTTCGGTTTTCTTTCGTTCACGATATCTCTCGAACGAATCAACCGTCTTGACCGGATTAGCGACGATCGGCGTGGTTTTTCTAGCTTAAGGGTGGATTAGTTTTTGAAGTTAATTGATAAAGCCGATTAAAAGTTATTCCAAAAAAACCACTTTCAAAAAAAAAATTCTTATTTTTTTTGAGATTATTCAAAATTTCTCAAAATCTATCGGTCCAATTGTTTTCTCTGGGTAATTTATTTTTAAACGAAAAGTATATTATTCGTAAGTAGACTATTTTGACACACGATTTGAAGGAATTTAAATTGATACAATTGAAGATCCAGAGATATTTCATTAATTCGCGAATTATTCGAAAATTTTACGAATTATTCGAAATTTTTCGAATTTCGAATCGAATATTGATATTCGATTCGATTCGAACGATGTTCGCACACCCCTAGACTCTTTATGATCAGCTGTGATGGTGTCATGGCGGCAGAAACCAGAGTGGGGACGGAGTGAGAGAGTAATAGATAGAGAAAGAGTGAGAGAGGAATAGAAACGCGGAGAAGGAAATGTAGGCATCACGCAGCTGCAGACATTTAACTTTATCGACGAATTTTTGTTATTTCGGCTTGCGGAAATCGTCAGATTATATATTTTTCATTATTCTTGCATTATTTCCTTCACAATAAAAAAAAATTTAGCTACGCTCGAGAATGTCGAGATGACGTTTTTTTTTACAACTTTGTTGCCCTCCCCTTTTTTTACGTCACTCTCAAATTGTCAGATTAGTGGAATATACACTTTTTAGGATGTAATTAACTCACCCTACCTTAATCTGACGCGCTCGAGAATTTCTGGTGGTCAATTTTTTTTTACTAATCTGATCCTGTATCCTTCACGGGCGGCCTTATATATGGGCCTCATGTTTTGTGGAGGTACTTAACCGGGTACAAGGTATCCCCCTGTATATTAATCTGCCGCGCTCGAGTAACTACAGAAAATCCCCTCTTGGGCTCCCCTACTATTACAGGCAGGTTTTGCTAAAATATTAGTCTGTTTTGAGGTATTATGTCACCTAGTTTTTTAAGTATACCAGTCTTTCTCTACTGAGTTATTCCTCGCGGCTTCTGATTTCTTACTGCTTCAGGTATTGATGATTGTTTCATTAATTTACTTTTTAGCAAATCAATTTCTATCATATCGTTAGCCTCGTAGCTTACCATGGAACTAGATGGCGTTGTGTGTTAATGTCCTGACGTATTTATTTATCGCCATTATGGGCAGTCTTAACAAACAGTTTCATACTATTTCTTTGTACCTCGACACAAACAATATCTTTTAAGTAGGTTCTTTCTTCACACTTTTTCAATTTATATTGTGAAGAGTGATCTAGCTGGAGAGCTAGTGAACCCTGGGAGTAACGGTCTCCCTGTAAGGTTAGAAATTTGTCTATTTACGATTTATAGCATGCTAAGAGCAATAGCCATGACCTGGCAGGCGTCAGCCCTGCACGTCATCAGCCCCTTTATTTTTTGAACTGTTTAGTAAATTGAGTTTTAAAACTTGTTTCTGTAAATTTGAAAATTTAATAGGATAAAGTTTATTTATTGTACATCTTAAAAAAAATTGACAGGCGATTACAATAAGCAGAAGTATATGACAGATCAATTAGAAAACCCACAGTTGATGAGGTAAAATAAACTTTATCCTGTATACTTAAAATTTTTATATGTTTTAAAGTAAATGTCTCAGAGTAAATATGTACAATGCCAGGCGGTTTTGAACAGCATAAGACCTTGACAGGCGAGGGGACAGCTGCTAAGGGCGTGCAAATAAGAAATGTTACATGAACGCATACAGTAAATGTATTTTATTGGGTTTTATGCAATCTACATTATTTTTAACATTCATTTTCTTCAGCATCAACCGAAATTTCGCTATCACTGTTTTTATCATCATCTGTTTCTTCAACAATTTCTTCCTCATCTGAAAATAGTAAAAAAAAATATTTTAATGAATCAGTAAGGTTGTTAATAATTAAATATCAAGCTCAATTACGTAGGACTGCATATTAAATGTTACGGAATAAAATAGTTGTATGTTACCTGAAATGCATTCCTCAGTTTCAGTCGATTGTGCTGTGGCAGTATCAGCAGGTCCTTGTAAAAGTATGTCGTATATAGAAGATGGAACCGTATTCCCCTCAAATCAATTAAAATCGTAACGACTATCAATTAAGTTCCAACCGTTATTTTCAGGTGTAAGAATTGTTGGTTCTTTTAAATTACAATTTCGCCATATATTTGTAATGTAGGCAGTTCTCAATAATTGTTGATGTAGTTCACGTTGACAGGGTGGTAAATTTGATGAATCATAGCTTACTACTTTTTTCATAAACACTTTAGGATTATTTGTGTTGTACGTAGCAAGGAACTTTTCATAACGAGCATTATTTAATTTTGAACATTTCAAACCATACATTTGGCATACAAATTTCTCTAGTATCGGAAAAAATTTTTCTTTCTTCTGTACTATTTCTGCGTTTCCTAATTCTTTGAATGCCTTCTGATATACACTCGATTTCTGCAATATTTGGAATGGTTTTTTTTTACCTCTTCTTGAAAAGGACGGACTCACTCGCACTATAGGCATTCACGCAACACCTCTCACTCGCACGCCCTTAGCAGCTGTCCCCTCGCCTGTCAAGGTCTTATGCTGTTCAAAACCGCCTGGCATTGTACATATTTACTCTGAGACGTTTACTTTAAAACATATAAAAATTTTAAGTATACAGGATAAAGTTTATTTTACCTCATCAACTGTGGGTTTTCTAATTGATCTGTCATATACTTCTGCTTATTGTAATCGCCTGTCAATTTTTTTTTAAGATGTACAATAAATAAACTTTATCCTATTAAATTTTCAAATTTACAGAAATAATTTTTAAAACTGCATTTACTAAACAGTTCAAAAAATAAAGGGGCTGATGACGTGCAGGGCTGACACCTGCCAGGTCATGGCTATTGCTCTTAGCATGCTATAAATCGTAAATAGACAAATTTCTAACCTTACAGGGAGACCGTTACTCCCAGGGTTCACTAGCTCTTGGACTAATCTTTGTATTTATAAAAATCTGAAATTTCCATGGGTTTTACATTCACTTTTTCTGATTTTGCTAGCTGCACGCAATCAATAAAGTCAGAAAAATCATATACTTTCTTAACTTTTTGAAGGAAGCTGATTTTCGACTTGATGGTGAAAATTGTCTGCAGACATAAATGTGTGGGCTGGTTCGAAATATTTAATTATAATTTTCATAGCACCGATTAATTGACTATTTATTATCTGTACCAGAAATGTGAAAAATGCCAAATTTTTATTTTGGCTAGTGCAATTATCTGTCCATATCACGTTTACTTTCAAAAAAAGCTCCGTATGTACTAATTATGTCCTCCTGTTTTCTGCCAGATACTGCTTCATGCCACATTGCTGCGAATGGTTTTTCTTTTTTATTGGAGCCCAGAGAAACAAAACTCTCGTTGAATGCTATGATTCTTGGACAGAACATCACAACTTTGAACATATCTAGCCTAGGTAACATAATTACCTTTTGCAAATCAGCCGAGTAATAGCATTTTGAAGGCAGTCTTGAAGATTCTGATTCATTCAAAGATTGCGTTACGTCTTGTTGATAATAAATTCGTGCTTTTTGGTATTTCTCACAATGGTTGCGATATATAGTACAATCAGTACAATTCTCAGTATCTTTGCATGAAATTTGATGCAGTTTAAAACTTTCACATTGCTTACACTCTTCGTTACCTAACTGGGCAAAAGATATATTCATATCTTTTTTTAGAAATTTTCTGTAGAGGGCATAAAATACTTTAAAATTTGGATTTTTTTCTATAAAATCAGTATGCATCATAGTTACATTTAAATCACTTGGTAGATATCTTCTGTTTGGAGCATGTGCCCGTCTGTAGTGTGCAATGGCTGGTCTAAAACTCTCGATATGCTCTTTGAGCTTTTCTCTGTCCAATTTTTTTAAATTATCATGTCTCCCGCGTCGATCAGCTTGAGATTCTGGTAGCTTTTTTAAAATTTCAAGCACTCGTCTGTCGTTATTTTTATGGTATCCCAGAGTTGTGAGAAAGAAAGTTTTACAAACTTCCTTCTTCTTATTGTCGATTTCCAAAAAATAGACATAAGTGTGCTTTCGTATCTGCTGGCTATCCTTAATACGCTTAAAAACATCTTTTTCAGTAACTAGTGATTTGACATACAAACCTTGAGCTTCACAATTAAAGTTCCAAAATATTTCATTTACACGTTTGCGTTCTAATTCCGTAAAAGATGACATACATTTTTTAATACAACTTTGGTTACATCCTGGTTTCACGGCCATTTTCTCCAACTTTAGCATTTTCGTCTCTTCTAATCTTTTTTCTACCGATTCCTTAAATTTACGCCTGATCCTTGGTTTCCCAGATTTTGTTATCCCCTTTGTAGTATCATGTGGCATGTCTATAGCGTGGTCTATATTATTATTTTCTGGTTCTATATGTGTGACATTCTGCGAACTGGATTCAGTTTCAAGTCTATTATGGTTCAAGTTATTATGTTGGAGCTCAATATTCTTCCAATTCTTCGAACTAGATGCGATATCAATCATTTCGTAGTTCGAATTATCTTCCGGTAGCTGTCTATTTTCTATAGGTGCTATGTCATTAACGGGTCCTTCTAATTCAAAATATATAATACCCACCTATTCTAATTTCTTATAATTAAAATTCAATGACCCATTTTGCGGTGGATAAATTATTCGTATGTGCTTTCCACCAATTGCGCCCAGACAGTGTGGGAAAATTTGCATTGGTAAAAAATCCTCGAGAGACATCCTGGCATAGGTATATATATTTACTTAAAAAGATGTCCCAACAACGGACTTAAAACTCTTTTATTAATAAATCATTTTTCATTTTCATTTAAGCAATTTTTTCCATTTACTCTCGCTAGGCGTTGGAATACATTCATCCTTGAAATCAATGAAAATGGCACTAAATACTTGTTTTACTATTTGGCATAAGCCAAATAGTAAGACAAGTTTTTAGTGTCATACCAACCATAAGGTTTTTAATGCCAACCATAAGGTTGCTATTCCTATGAAGTAGGAAAAATGTAGATCAGTAAATGTGTTCCCGGATGCCAAATATATGAAAACAAAAAGTAATTTATACCCTGACAAATATTTCAATTCTGTAGAATGATAGAACTCTGCATTCAAAAATTTTAAAAATGTACTCTTTAATTTAATACAAATACAAACAATACATACTGTTAATTTGATTTGATTATTTGACCGCATTCAACGTAGGGCGATTCGAGTATTCAATGATCAAGCTCTCTCCGATCGGCTTGATCCTTTAGCTCTGCGTAGAGATGTTGGATCACTCTGCATCTTCTACCGCATCTATCACGGGGAGTGTTCCGAGGAATTGTTCGTACTGATCCCGGCTGCTGAATTTCACCATCGGACATCGCGCCAAAATATCAAATTCCATCCACACCACCTCGATGTCCAGCGTTCCAGAACAGTGCGATTTTTAAGGCATTTTCTGCCCCGCACAACCACTCTGTGGAACCAGCTATCGCCGGCGGTCTTTCCGAACCGCTACGACCTGGCTACCTTCAAGAAGAGAGCGTATTCATTCCGTAAAGGTCGGCAACGCATCTGCAAGCCCTGCGGCGTTGCAGATGTCCATGGGCGGCGGTGATCACTTCTTCAGGTGAGCCTCCTGCCCGTTTGCCCCCTTAGTCCCATAAAAAAAAGATAAGTTTTCCGAAAAGAAGCAGCCGTCTGGCTCAGGCAGCCAGAAGAAGAAAAAATACAGTTTCTATGATATATTGACTTTTCTTGATGAAACAACTGATATAGATGTAGATGTGACGTTGTCTGAAGAACAAACTCAAGACATTAGTTGACAGTTTCTACTACACTACTTGACAGTTTGTTGAACCAAACACTTCACAATAGTTCAGAGGGTGACGAAAATGACATATTCTCTGCGGTATTAAATGAAGTCACAATGGATACGATTACTAGTGGAACTGATAATCAGCAACATAAGGCTAATATTGGTTAAGAAACTTTGCTGTGAAATTAATATTGTTCAATTTGTGTTTTTAATCTTTAATAAAGATCTGCTAAATCCCCTATTCGATCATTTTGATATACTTCAAGATTTTTCGGAAATTCTGTATTTTTGATACTCTGAAAAAATTAAAATTGAGACGAGAATTGAATAGAAAAATTACTCTCCAAAAAAACAGAATGGAGATTCACTCACTTAGACGAAAAAATATCCGCCTTTAAAAGAAAATTCTAACTTTTAAAGAAATAATTGGAAACCTAAAAAAAGAGAGGTACAGTCTGTCAAAAAAGTCATGAATAAAAAGGAGGGCGCCACCAACATTAACATGGTATTCCTATAAATTTCGACTAAAAGGTTTTGATACTTTTTTTATATATTTTATGCATTTACTGATTTTTTTTCGTAATCGCTTAGAATTATTTACTGATTTATTATTATTTACTTTACTGTCGTTACCTTTACTATCATGTGGATTATCTGACACAGAGGCGGATCTTGAATTTGTGGGGCCCTGGGCTAATACTGCTTAGGGGCCCTACCTAATTACTCAACTAATTGCCATTTTGACAAGAAACTGTTTTCTGTAGTGATGTAGGTATATGTAATGTAATATATGTTAAGTACAGGAAGAAAATAGGAAAACAAAATATTTTATTTATTTATTAAAACATTATTTATTGCAAAATAAATTGACGGGTTATAAATGGTTATGTTAAATAAATTATAAAGCAACCTTTCTGCATTTTTGTGCTGCAAATTCTTTTATTTGGTCATCGCACTGTAGGTCCTTTGTTAAATCGCAATTTATCGAAAGAACTGATAAATGATTTAGTCGATAGTTCGACATTGTTGTCCTGTATTTGTTTTCTATATACGACATCCTGGAGAAAGAACGCTCCGCTTCACAGCTAGTGATCGGCATCGTTAAAAAAATCTTTAAGATAGTATAGCAGTTTGGGAAAACATCAACAAGTTTCTTTTCATAAATTAGCCAAAAAATTTCACTGCAAGAGGTGTAAGACTCTGTCTTAGATTGCAGTAAGTAAGATTTCAACTGAATGCACTCATTCACTAAATGTTCGTCTACGTCATTTGGATAATAATCAATAATATTACGTACACTTTCCAGATCTATGTGTTCTTGATTTTTGTCTTGCAAATCCATTAAAAATTTAAATTTTTTGCTATAGGTCTCATAGGCTTGGCTTCTATTATTTAAATCCATAATCATCTTATCCAACGCAACGTTAAGCGTGTCTCTTTTAAATTTTTCTGCGCAGTTCACTGAGACTTTATCTGTAGATTTATCTGAAAATTTCAAAGTAATGCGTCTCTTATTTATGTCACTGTAGTCTGTTCCCACACTAGTACTTAATTTTTTAGCTTTCTCTTCGTATTCCTTTAGCTTCTGATCTGATTGTTGCCTTATGTTTTTCACGAACTCTTTTAATGACACAATTAACTTATTGCCTTCACCAATGTCTAAACCAGGGCTCTGTACTTTTTTATTAACTACATTAAATCTCTCCAAAATTTCTTCCCAAAAAACAATCAAAATTGCAGTTTCTAGTTTCGCCAGTTTATTAAATAAATTTCGTGCCTCTTTTCGGAAATCAACTTTTTCATCGTCATTTTCGCCGAAACTATTGAGAATTTTCATAATGCCATCATAATTACTTTTCAAAGCTCTGACAGCATCAAAGTGACAAGACCATCTGGTCTGGCTTAAACTTTTTAACGTAAATTTTAGTTTTGTTTCACGATTTAACAGTTCCCACCTATGGGTCGAAGCAGAGAAGAAAACGTATATTTGTTGCACTATTCCAAAAAAATTTACAATTTCGGTTGCAACCTTCACGGATTCTTGACCAACTAGGTTAAGGGAATGCGCAGCACATGGCACGTAATCCGCGGATTTATTTTTTTCTTTTAGTAGTGCTTGTACACCATTGTAGACTCCGGCCATATTAGCAGCGTTGTCATATGACTGTCCCCTGCAATTATCCAGTAGTAGTCCATTTGTTTCCAAAAAGGCTTGTAGAATATTAAATAAATATAAGCCAGTATGACTACTAATTTTAATGAAAGATACACATCTTTCATACACTTTTCCCCGAAAACAGTATCGTAATACAATAGCAAGTTGGTCATCGTGAGACAGATCTGGGGTTGAATCCATCATAATTGAATAATACTTTGTGTCGTCGTTATTTATTTCAGTTATAATTTGTTTAATTATCTGTTTACCCATAATCTCAATTATTTCCTCATATACTGTTTTTGATAAATATGATATTACAGGGTTTGGTCGCAGCTCTCGTTGTTCAATATGTTCACGTATGAATGGGTCGAATTCTGCCAATAGCTCTAGAGCACCCATAAAATTACCATTATGTGGAGAACCAAATACTTCCTCGGAACCTCTAAGTGCTAAGCCTCTTATACTCAGAAATTTTAGCACTGCAATAACCCGTTTTAGGACATTGTGATAATATTCTGTTTCTTTATTTAATTGCTCCTGAAGCTGCTTGTCTAAAACAGACTTATTTTCTTTTCGTGTCAACCACACTAACATTGAATTCTTATGTTCATTAGAATTTTCGTGATTTTCTAAACAAAATCCTATGTGTTTCCAATCAGAAAATCCGGTTGTGTATTGAGAAGGAGTTTTAGAAAAAAGTTTACAAGTCAAACAAAAAACAGTACCAACTCTTTTTGAATAACATAACCAAGATCTTTCCAGTAATTGGCCATTTTTCATTTTTCTAGTGAAATACCTATTTGAAAAAGATCTATTTTGTTCTTTATATTTCTTCATTGAAGCTGAATATATATTCTTCGGATCTTTATTTTGAAAGTCAGTCATTTCATGTGAGAGGACGAAATTAATAAAATCATTATTCAGCAAATCTGGCCACAAGCCCACGTCAACATATTTCTCAAACTCAAACTTAATATTTTCTAAATTTCTTTCCACCTCGGTATCGGTATTACCTCCCTTTTGCTGAACACCAATTTCATTTTCAGAGGAACCAGAGGGTTGCTGGAAGTCAAGATATTGCACATTTTCATCGTTGGTATTTTTTTTCTGGTTTTCAAAATCTTGCATATTTTCATCACTTGTATTTTTTTCCTCGTTTTGCGATTTTTTGCTGCCATCGGTTAGATTCTCTTCGCATAAAATACCTTCCTTTACGTTTTTTAATGGATTTATAGCTATTTCATTCGCGTTTATATGTTCCGATTTAAAAAAAGTTTCAATTTTTGCGCATTTATTTCTTTCTTGTTCTCGACTAAACTGTAATTTTCTTTTTTCAGCTCCACTTTTATATTTTCTAGCAGACATATTGTAAAATAAGATATTTTTCTGAAAATAAACAAAGAACTGGATAGAACTTTTAATTTTAATACCTACTTTGTAATGAGTGTAGCAATTCACAAATTATAATTAAATATCGAACGAGTTTGATTCATTTAGTTTTGAAAACTGAAATAAAAAGTCATGTTTTATAATTCTTTTTACTTACCTACTGCCTATTAAAAGCAGGAAGTCTAGTTATGCTGAAGACTTTCAATTTTAGTAAATTAAAAGAAAGGTCCGGTCCTTATAACTTTTAAGTTATCTATTACTTAGTAAACTAAACACACGCACTAAACACATTTCTAACAATAACAAAGTCAATTCGTTAATATAGTCGACTATAGCAGAAGTGCGGAAAAATAACAAAATTGCGTCGGGCGATAAGCGGAGGGAAGTCCCCAGTAATAGACACTACTATACACGGAATACACCGACTGAAAACAAGCGACAGGGAATTCCCCGTTCCATTTGATAGATGCGCACTCGGGTTGATTGATCGCAGTGTTGCCAACCTCATGATCGGATTTTTTAAAATTCTAGATAATTTTTATTATTGACAATATCGTCTATTGGTTTCAGTTCGGTTGGGGGCCCTCTGTATTCGCGGGGCCCTGGGCTGCAGCCCAAAAAGCCTTTAAGTAGATCCGCCCCTGATCTGACAGATATCTATCTCACTCTCTGACACTCAGGGTACAAAAAGAGTTATGACTTTCATTGGTAGTGGTGAACAACATTAGCCTTCCAACTAATTTCTATTCCAAAGACATTAGATTTTAACTGGTGCCTAATGTAATGTATTGTAGTTTGTTTGCGATGTTTATTACCTGATTTATATAAATTTGTAAATTAGCCCTCTGTAGCGCCGTGTGACATTTCTGTCACAAACCGATTCTTGGCCATTTATAATTAAAATATTATTTCGAGTCCATTTCGTGGCACTGTAACAAAACTGTAACAAACCGATGTATCGACTTAGTGTAATACAAATAATGTAGATGGCGTAAGTGCCGCGTGACAGCACTTGTTTGTCGCCCGCGCGTTCTAAACTACCTACTTGATTTTTACAAATAATCAAAAATCTGTGAAAAATAGAAAAACGCGATAAATACTGTGTACTTTTTGAAAATATACAGGTGAGTACATATACTTTGTTGTGTATTGTGGGTTTTAATGTTTTTGAATGCCTTCGATGAGTTTGACTGTCTGGCTTGTTTGTACCAGAAATGTTACATTGCCTAACGTGGGTATTTTTTTTTTGTGAAGAGGCTCATTAGATGTTTCGTTTGCTCTCTTTTTAGAATGACTTTTCGACCTCTTTGGGATGACGAAATAGCCAAAATATTGACTGGAATGAATGAAGACAATAAAGATGGTATGGAAGATGACGATGGCAGTGTTGCAGATCCTGACTATCGAACTGAAGATGAGATAGCAGACAAGAGCAGTTTTCTGGCGATGAAAACGAACATGATGAATTGAACTTTGAAGAGATCATTCATAGTTTAGAAGACAATCAATCTGATCCGTCTCCATCTACTTCTGCTGTACCAACTGGATCGCAACAAATGCAACCTGTGATACAACCTAGAAAGCCAGTAAAACTCAACCTGCGATGGAAAATGAAAAACCTGCTTTTGAATGAGCATCAGTTACGTTTTCAAGGAAACGAAAACTTAACAACAAATATTCTAGAGCTTGACACGCCGATCCAGATTTTCTTGTCCTTGTTTTCTAAAGATTTAATTGATTTTATAGCAACGCAAACTAATTTATACATTGTGCAAAAGGATCCCAATAATAATTTTCGGGTTTCCACTACAGACATCCAGCAATTTATTGGCATAGTGTACATCATGTCTTTAGTTCAGCTTCCACGAGTTACCCGTCATTGAAGTAGCGCCATTGGAACTTCTATGATTCAAGAAATAATGCCGTTAAAGATGTTTGAAAAGATTCGACAATTTATACATTTCAATGACAATTCGCAAAACTTGCCTCGCGAACATCCGGAATTCGACAGACTATTCAAACTTAGACCAGTTGTACAAAAACTAAACCAATCTTTTGCTGAAATACCTTTAGAGCAATATCTATGCGTTGATGAGCAAATATGCTCTACGAAAGCTAGAAATAACTTGAAAATATATAACCCGAAAAAACCACACAAATGGGGTTATAAGATTTACGTTCTCAGTGAAATATCTGCATTTGCGTATAAAATCGAACCTGAAACTGGCTCAGAAAATGTGGTACTGCCCAATGAACCTGACCTTGGTGCTTCCTCAAATGTTATTGTGCGTCTATCACGAGATATACCTCGCAATCAAAATTACAGGTTATATTTTGACAATTACTTTACAAGCTTGCCACTGCTAGAATACTTGTCAAAAGACGGTATACTGAGTCTTGGCACAATACGCCGAAACAGGATTCCAGATTGCAAATTACCTACAGACAAAGAAATGTCCAAAAAAGACAGAAGCTATTCTGTTTAGTATGTTGCTGATGTCAACGGTGTGGAAGTAGCAACCGTAGCCTGGAAAGACAACAAAGTAGTAAATTTAGCATCGAGTTTTGTCGGAGAAATGCCAAAAGCACAGGTGAGGCGGTATGACAAGAAGACCAAGCAGTACATAACAATTGATCGTCGATGTATTGTCGGAGAATATAATCGCCACATGGGTGGCGTAGACCTTATTGATAGCATTATGGGATGCTACAAAATACGCCTTCGTAGCAAAAGGTGGCAGGTTAGAATGTTTTATCATTTATTGGACTTGAGTATGGCAAACGCATGGCTTCTTTACAAAAGAATTCATAAAGCCAGGACAAAAATTTGAACTCGGCTGATTTTCGGCTTGAAGTTGCTACAACTTTATGTAAGCTTAGTGTGCCATCGAAGGTAAAGAACCGTCGATCTATCGAAAACGAACTTCAATCAAAACGACACAAAGGTCCAGCACAACATGTTCCTCCAGTGGCAATCAGGCAGGATCAGACAGGACACTTGGCCTGTTTGGACAGAAAAGAGAATACGCTGCAAATTTCTTAAATGTTCCGGTGTCTCGCAAACAATGTGCGAGAAATGTGGTGTTGCTTTGTGCTACAATAAACACAACAATTGTTTCACACAATTTCACCTACATTAAGTTACCTTTATGATGCAGTGTGACATTTATGTCACACTCCCTTTAAATGCGATTTTCTCAAATAAATTAAAAAATAAAGATTTTTCCTAAAATACGTGTATTTTTATTTTTTTCAATTAATGTTTTTCAATGCTTATTTTTAAAATTGGACATCTTGCCCTACAGAGGGTTAGAATATAATTTAATGTGTGTGTAATGAGAAATGAAAATGCTTAGTTTATTAGATATTTCTTTATTAATCAGAATCCAAATAATCAGAGTCGAGATATTCGACTCCCGAAATGTTGCCCGAAACTCCTGCATAATTAAATTGGTCGTCTTCTGACTCTTCAGATTCACTTGAACTATCATCGCTAACTGAGATGACAAATCGGTCTATATCATTATAGAGAGATCCTTCACGGGCAAAATATTCATTTTCAATTTTGATGACATGCTCAACACAATTTTTCCATTCTTGTGAAGTTACTGCCTGAAATGCTTCCTCAGCCAACTTCGCAACATTTTGACCACAAACATTCTTTTGTGCAATTCGCCTTTTTACTATTGCCCAAACTAATTCGATTGGGTTTAAATCACAATGGTAAGGAGGCAGTCTTACCACTGTATGTCCATGTTCAGACAAAAGTTCATCAATGTAGTAGATCGGTTCAGGTTTATGTTTTTTTACAAGCATCAATAAGGATGGTTTCCGCAATGTTTCATCAAATGGAATATTATTTTCAAGTAGCCACAATTTGATTTCATCAACTCTTGATGCAGATGTAGGAGCCTGGGGAAAAAAACTTAATTTAGTTGTTGAATTTTAATTTCAAATAAAAAAAGGATAAATTAATTAAAAGAGGAGGAATACCTTGTTGTCGTAATGGAGTGATACGGTGCGTTATCCATCACAATTAATAATGGTTCACTTATTGGGTAATAACTTTTCGTTACTCATTTTATAAAATTTTGAGCATTCATTTCAGAATGGTAATCTTCTTGCTTATTTTTACCAGTAAATATTAAACGTGCATTAAGCACAAAACCTTTCTCACTTCCAGCGTGTACAATTATCCACCTTTTCCCTTTAGACACATTTTGTTGGACACCGGCAATATTAGTAGACTGCCAACATTTAGTTACTTTGTAGAAGAAACTATATGGATAATTAAAGTGTCCCAGTATGTTGTGGGCTCACCAATTCTTGAAAGTGCACGCAAATTCTTATTAAAAATTAACTCATTGTGCAAAAGTAAACCCAAGCAGATTTTGATACACTCTTCACGAAATAAGGTTGTTGAGTCGCAATTATGTCGTACTCCTTTTCGCAAAGTGGTATATATGCTTCCGCTGTTATGGCGAACTCATTTGTTCTCCTATATGGGGCTACTCCAGGGAATCCCATCATGTCCAAGTCGCTAAACATTTCATTTTTGGGCTTAGTGGCAACCGTTGAAATCCTCGTCAGTTTCGGCCCTGTTGAATTAGGGTCGCGGGGTGGCAGTGGTAGTGCAACTGTATTCTCAGAGCCTTTCGAACTCTTCTTGAAGAACTTCCCCTTCTGCTTCTTCCCCTCAGCATGTGCTGGTGGTGCCTCTTTATTTCCCTCTTGCATGTCTTGACTACAAGTGTTTGTTGCCATCGTGGCGAGACCGCAATTCCTCAAAGAATTTGTATTGTTAGGTTCAAAGCCAGGTAATTTTATGGTTATGGTAATTTTATGGTAATGGTAATTAGACTACGACTTTACTATTAGAAGCGCGTTTATTGAATAGCCATATCTTAACCTAAGTAACATCTTATAAAGTATCATATAAGGCTCGGCGCACACTACACCTTCCCCATAAAAACAAAAAAAACATACAATTATGTATTTTTTTTTACATTTAAGAAATATACAATTTGTTCTGTTCTTATGAACAATTTCGTGTTTTCCATTTTTTAATACTTTTACATTAACATTTAAATCTTCTATTACTTTATATGGACCTAAATAAATGCTTTTACTTTTATCATTTACTGTATTTCTAATTAAAATTAAATCATCTTTATTATAGCTAACTGAATTAACGTATTTATCATAATTATTTTTTCTTATTAATTTACTCTTAAACAAATTTTCTCTAGCATCTTTGTGTGCTATTTTTAACCTATACTTAAGTTCTAGGGCATAGTCTTCCGGATTGTTTAACGGCTCAATATATCTACCTTTTAAATTAGTTGGAATGCTACACGATTTTCCAAAGACTAACTCATGAGGCGTATACTTCGTTTCCGAATGTGTTGTATTATTATACGCAAAGCACCAGAATGGCAACCAGCTACTCCAAGAATCAATTTGATTCTCTGACTGAATCCTTAAATACGCACCCATAGCCTTGTGAGAGTTCTCCAGAGCGCCGATACTTTCGTGGTGATAAGCTGTTGAAGTCACCTGTGAAACTTGTAATAATTTACAAACCTCTGTCATCGTCGAGGATATGAACTGCGATCCACGATCCGTAGCTATTTCTTTAGGTATGCCATATGGAAGAACAAAATTCTCAACAAATGCTCTCGCTACTGTAATGGTATCTTTACGTTGCAATGGGTATGCCTTTATAAATTTTGTTAACTCACATTGCAATGTCAAAATATAAACATAATCATTATTGTCTTTACCGATAGGTCCTACTATATCAAGAAATACTTTTTCAAAACCTGATTTCGCAGTTGTAGTTACCACCATAGGTTGTTTTGACTTTATAGAATGTTTTTGCTTTTGACATTTATCACACTTGTTGACAAATTCACGAACATCCTTTTCCATAGAAGGCCAAAAGTAAAACTTTTTTATATTATTAACCATTCGCCTAATACCCGCGTGGCCACTTGTGGGCAATAGGTGAAAATCGTTAATTATGACACGTCTGTCATCAATATTATTTCTTTTTACTCCTTTTATAATACATAATCGTGGCCCGGATCACTTAGGAGTTTCTCTTATTTCTTTGGTTAACCCTTTAACAAAATTTTCATTTTCTTTACTTTGTATGATGCATATCTCATTTATTTTTATTATTTCGCATAAAGACTCTAAATCTCTCACTAGCACGGCTCGCGTAGATAGCGATTGAGAAGTAGGAACGAAATAAGTAACACTTTTAGTAGGTACGTATGCAAAATCATTTAATTCAGCTTCAATAAGACCCTTTCTTCGAAATTTATTTAGTTTAAACTTAGTCGTCAAAGTCAGTTCAATAAAATTTTCTGGTTTTTTAAGAATTTCAATGATTCGCGGGTGATCAGTCCTCGAATCATTTTTAACATTATCGTCATAATCAGTCGATGTTTTGTCATTAGTCTTGTCTTGTCCTGAATCATGTAATCGTCTTAACTGTCCTCTTGTCATTACATTCATTACCTTTTCACACTCCCGACAAAGAATCTAATATTTCGGTAACGTTTGGGAGAGGAAACTTGTCATCTTGAATCTGCTGTTTTACTTTACGATAATCCACTACTATTCTAAATTTTTTACTACCATTACTGTCTATTTTTTTAGGCACTAAGAGTAAAGGACTCGACCACTCACTGCTACACTCCTCGATTATATCGTCACCTAGCATTTTTTGTATCTGATTATTGATTTCGATTTTTTGCGAAAATGGTAACCTATAGGGCTTAGTATAAACTGGAGTACTGTTATTTTTAACGGAATATTTTGCTCGTACAGATTAGTTGTGGTTAGCTTATCGCCCGATAAATAAAAAATATCTGGAAATTTAGCACATATATTTTCTATAGAAATTTTTCTTCGCCATTGAGCCCTTTTAAATTTAACACGGAAAATAACTTTTTTACTCTATCAGAATTCATAACTGGTTGCTTAAAATTACATATCGTATAATCTTTAAGCTTACTCGTATTTACTGAAAAATAACTTAAATATACATCTTGCTCTTTAACGTTTAAAATCTTAATAGGCATTTTTCCATTCACCGGCCGTGTTATAATATTCGCTAAAAAGACACCTTCACATAATTCTTGACAATCAACTACACAATCTTGATTTTTACTAGTTTCAATCCAATGTATATACTCACATCGTGCTGGTACTCTAATAAAATTATTTAGCGTGTTTTGCGATAAATTAAAATTTAAAGTTACTCTTTTATTTTTGCTAAATTGTAAAATTAAGTAATTTTTCTCGAAATTTAAAATGCCATTATATCGTTTAAAGAAGTCTTGGCCCAGGATTCCATTGGTTTTGCACGGCAAATTATTAAAAATATAAAACTTATGCCTGAATTTCTCATTCCTTATTTTTAAATCTAAGTATACATATCCTTTTGATACTATTTTACCTCCAATACCTTTTACTACAATCTTTTCGGAATAAAAAGGAATATTAAATTTCTTTAACCAGTCTAATTGAATAACTGATAAAGATGCACCTGTATCTATAAACCAGCTTAATGGGTGTTCATTAACATAAAAAATTACTTTATTAATACTACCACAAGTCAATATATAATTAGGATCGAAAAAAAAGATTCAACGAATCCCTAGTATCCCCATCGTTATCGGCATTGCTATGAGTCATTACATGAGTATTAAAATTAGGTTTATTTTTACGGTACTTACCTCTATACGTAATATGGGTAGGTTGACCACGACGGTAACCTCCATAGGGACGACGATTAGTAATTTTCCCTCGAGTATGAGACCTATTCTGAACAGGGAACGAAAAGGATCTACTATAATATTGAAAAGCCTTACCTCTTCCACGACCCCTTTTGCATTACATAGCTCGACGCAGAGGTAGAAGGTAACTCTAACTCCTCATCCTCTGCAGCGCGTATGGCATCCTGCAAGGAGCTGTAGTCACGGGCTGCTATAATGGTGCTTAGACGTTTATGATTAAGACCATTAGAAAATCTATTTATTGCCGTTTTTTCGTTTACTGGGCGTAAAATATCAAAAGATGTTTCATTTCCATCTGACTGAGAAATGGTAAGGTCGACAAACAATTGTTCAATTTCTGTACCGAACTCATTAATATAGAGGTGTCTTATAAGTAATGTCGGTTTTCATATGTGAAAATTCCTACGCCTCAATTTAAACATGTCGTAACTTGTTAAGACTAGTCTCTAATTGTATGAAGAGTACAATTGCTTTACTTTCTTTTAATCATTCTCTCTTTGTTTATTGACGACGTACTACGTTTTTATAATAATTAGTATGGAGTGTGATAAATACGAAATTCGTGTATTGTTAAGACATTATTGGAAACAAAAGTTTAAAGCAGCTGTGGCAGCAAGGAAAATATGTGAAATTGAAGGGGAAGACACAGTTAATGAGCGCACGGCACAGCGTTGGTTTAATCGTTTCAATAGTGGAGATTTGACGCTTGATTGTTCGCGCTCAGGTCGTCCACCTGCGTGGGATATTGAGGTTACAAGGGAAGCAGTAGAAAACCAACCTAGTACCAGCACTCGCCGATTATCGGACTCCCTTGGCCCTTCTCAAGATACCATACATCACCATTTAAAATCATTAGGTAAGATCTATAAAAAATGTCGAATAGTGCCACACGAATTAACCGAGATTCAATCGAAACGTCGAGTAGAGGTGTGTAAACAGCTCCTTGCCCTGCCGAAAGATGATCGTTTTATTAGACGCATTGTTACTTGCGATGAAAAATGGATTTATCTAAGCAACTTCGAAGAAAATCAGTGGTTAGACAAAGGACAAATACCAGAACCCGTCGCAAAGAGAGGTCGATTCGAGCGAAAAGTCTTGTTATGAGTCTGGTGGAATTATGAAGGTTTAATGTACTTCGAAATCATTTCAGATAATCGAGCTATCAATGCCGAGATATATAGTGGACAGCTGATGCGAATGTATTAGGTTTTATCGGAGAAATATCCAGGTTTAGTTAACCGAAAGCGGATTCTCTTACAACAAGACAATGCTAAACCACATACTGCGAAAGTTACGCGGAATAAGATCGAAGAACTTGGTGGTATTGAACTCTTACCACATCCAGCATTTAGTCCGGACCTTGCACCGTCAGATTACTATTTATTCAGATCCATGGCGAAATTCTTGCGTGGGAAAACATTTGAATCCAAAGGAGATGTTGAAAATGCAGTGCGACAATTTTTTGCATCTAAACCCAAAGAATGGTTTTACCGAGGTCTCAAAGAGCTTGCTGAACGTTGGGTTAAAACCATAGAATACAATGGGCTATACTTCGAATATTAAGGCTTTCTTTTTCTATGATTATTTAGTAAGCAAAGTGAACTTTGGAAACCGACATTATTTATGAGACACCCCTGTAGATTTCGAGTTTTGCTTAATTGAATGTAATTGCGCTTGGATCGATGAAGCAGATTTTTTAGTGAGTAAATGCCTTTTCATATCGCTTACTAACGATTTTATTTTCTGATATTTTTTCGTAAGTTTTAGTTTTGCACTACTGGAAAGGCGACTTTTTAAAACAAAATTTATCAAATATTTTTTGTGATCACCTTTACCATAGAATCATATAGTTCGATATTTTCTATCAATTGTTTCGTGACCTCCTCATTTCCCGTCATAACTGGTAATAATGAACATGCCGTCTTTAAATTAAAATCCTCCATCTTACTTAAATTCTCTTCACTACCACTATTACTGCTAGACATTGAACATAAAACTACAATATCCTTATAATTCTTATCAAAATCTTCACACAATGAAGTAATTCTAGAAAAAGTTTCACTAGCTATTTCTTCTTTTTCAAATTTATTTAAAAATAATTTTATTTCGTTATCGAAAGCGACTTTCAATTTATTTGCTTCCAATATTTTATGTTTTAAATCCTTATCTCGCCTTCTTTTAGGACCTAATTTAATCAAATAAGTTCTAATTAAAATCAAATCATTATATATATATATATCTTTTGTATAATACTTGACATTACATAAAAACATAATAAATTTTTATTAAAATACAAGAGTGTGTACGGGCCTTAATAAAGGCATCGACTTACCGGCGCGCCATGCGCTCAAATAACATTGGCATGCGATGAGTTATTAGGATTAGGCTTATTAGGATGAGAGATATTATAAACTATGATCTGAATGTCTCTTATTAGCGTCTTAAACCGATTAAGTAAAAAGAGGGTATTGATAATTATAACTAGCTTTATAGTATTTATACTAGTACACTGATTCTAACACTTTCTTTAACACTTCACTTCTCACTAATACTCGATTTCTCTGCTTTATTTCGGCCAGATCTTCGTGAAGACGTAGACCTTATGATCTCTCGGTTAACTTCTCACCTAATCATTTTTGTATGGCATCTTTTGTATGCGCGGTATATTCCATATAACATGAAAACTGCCAAAATTACCAAAAAAATACTCATTAGTATATTTTGAGTACTGAGATGGCCCACTATATTTTCAATGCTTCCAGAATTGCTTCCAGCCGCATTCTGGGCTATTATAATAAATAGCCTCCTCCTTCCGCGCACTTGATTGGCACATCTTTTATTTAGGATTTTACTTCATTTTTATTTATATTTTTTTTATTTCTGATTTAATTAATTCCACTACATCCTGGCATGTTCAATTATCTATCCTGGCATGGTCGCCATGTATTGTTAGGTTCAAAGCCAGGTAATGATTAGACTACGACTTTACTATTAGAAGCGCGTTTATTGAATAGCCATATCTTAACCTAAGTAACATCTTATAAAGTATCATATAAGGCTCGGCGCACACTACAGAAGAAGAACAAGAAGAAGAAGAATATTGGTTGGGAGTTGGGTTCTTAACGAATTAAATAAAAATACTCATAAGCATAACGATTTTTATTTAACTATTTACACATTACTAAATAATATTGTTTTTCGCAGCTTTTGCCTCATAGTTACACGTGAGCCCATAATTTCAAGAGTTTTATTTTTGCCGTGACTTCTTAACCTTAGAACTATGTATTTCTTGGCTATACACTTAATTATTTCGATTTCATGTGAGGCGGATTGAATAATTCATTTAACTTTGAATAGAAATGTTGATTTATTATATTCAACAATCTGTCTCCGTACGCATTTTCCCATGCATTTTCTAAGGACGTCATGATGAGTTTCTCAGCGTATTTCACTATTTCGTACACAAGTTTTGAAGCATACTTCAACTGGCCTCTGTCAACAAATGTAGTAAATGATGAAAATTCGCACACATCTATGACGTAATTATGATCTTTATGTTGCCGCTTTACTAGCAAAGCAGATCGGCAATATTCACATGTAGTTTTATCCAGCATTTTGTTGACAATGTAGCCAGATATATAATACAAGATATTGTTTTTGTAATATGACAAATGGATGCCTTCTATTTGTTCTAACCATTTTTTTACTTGACTTTCTTCATCTCGATCCTCATCGTCTGTATTGTCCCTTTGAAAATCCGACTTTTGTAACCTTTTATTACTTCTGAATTCATTCGGTATTCGGGTTATCGTTTGCACCACCCCTTGCCCTCACAAGAGAAAAACATATCAAGATGATCTTGGGAGCATTTGTAAGTTAATAAATAATTCAAGGCTTTTTCTTCAAAAAGATCCTCCGCTAGTTAAGCAAAACTGAAAGTATCCGCAATAAGACCCAAAATTGGTGTTTTACGCCTATGAGTTAATACGTCTTGCCCGTCAACTTTTAGGCGACATAAATAGTCTCGGGTACCTTTAAAGATATCTAGCCAATAATCCTTATTCTCTCTTCGTAGAGGAGATTCATATCCAGTATCATCAAATAATTTTCGATTTGAGCTTTGGATAAGGTATTCTTCGCCATTATCTAAAAAATAAAACACATCACAATATTAGTAAACATACCTAAAATCGGAACCTAACTGCATGAAGTGACACATGTGGTATATACAGTAATTGTGAAAATTTAGTATCAAAACACGGCCAAATCAAAAAAATATACTTACATTTGTTTAGTTCACAGATATTTCGACATAAAAACAATTTATCCACTGTTGCATACCGTAAACAACTATTATTTATTATATTTTCAAATTGAATACGCACGGCATGCAGCGAAAGTACAAAAATTTTAATTGAATGACTGACTGAGCGAGTAGTGCTGTCATCTAGTTAAAAAAAATGCACTAAATAGGCACCATGGATTGTTGTCACTATTTTGCGTCATCATAGATGTCGCTACTTGTTTCAAATCAGAAAAAATATAAATTTTATTGGTTGTCCCACTTAAGGGACTGAATGCAGTGTAGGTCAGACATTCCAGAGGCATTAAAGCAATTGACTCCGCTTGAAGAGCGCTTGGTATCACCTCGTCATATATTTCTCAAAATTGTTAGACGAGGTTAAGGTTTGGGTTTCCAACACGGATTGGTAGGAAATGAAGTTAATGTACCAGTTGCAGTAAATACTATGGTATCAGCTTTACCAAGACACGTGCGAGATACTCATTTGATAATATTTCGTTGTGTTGTGGGTTCTTTATTTCTAAGGCTTTATATTAATTGAAACAAGGAACTTACAGGATCGACCATCTTTATTGCAGACCAGAGACAAGAAGGACTCTATATTACAGACAAATTCACAGATACACAATATGTAACATGCCCCTTTTTAAAAAGAAAATTTTGACACATGACTTTGACATTAATGATATTTCAATTTGAAGTTGACAGTGACAATTGGGCATAACCTTAAATTGGAAATACAATTAAATTAAAAATTTTATTTTACATTTATCTTAGATATAAATTTATAATTAAATTACAATAGTGAATTAGACAAAAATTAATAAATGACTTAACTAGTGCAATCCTGAAATAGTTAATTATACTTACAATATTTACAATAATTTATTTTAATTATGAATTATGAAATTGTTAAACATTTTATTATTAAAATTATTACAAATTCAGTCTTTGAGTCTTTTTTATTCGTCTACCTCTAGAACTATATTGATATTCATTATCAGGTACATTGTTGCCATCGTTAGGAGATATTACAATATTAGATAGACATTTCTTGCAAACATGATTCAGGAGGACTAGGTAAATGAATTTCCTCTTCATACTCGTTATGATCATGTAAGCTTTCATCTGACATATTATTACCTACATTGACGAATTCAGGGCATTGTACAGATTGACACGACTTCGAACAAGATACAGATTCATTTAACTCTGAACCAATTGACCTATAAGTATCAGACTCACTTTGACTTAAAATATAGTTATCTTCTTGTTTTTGTATTGGACTTGACAATAGACTTTGACTATAAGATAAATTTAATTTCTTTTGAGTAAGCAGCACGCAAGCGTTGCCGACATCAAATATACAGCACTATTAGAACTTAGAGTTCTACTGGTGACCCATAAAGGTGTCAAGAAAAGATTATTTACTTATAAAAGTGATTAAACCGTTATTATACAGCTAAAGCTGTACTAAGTTTTTATAAAATACTCCGTGTAAACTTAAGGCTTTAAAACAGAATATTTGAACTCCACTTTAAAACCCTAAGCATTTTTTGACACTTCAATCTAATGTTATCCTTCAAGCTGCATAGAGGCTGTATTTTGCATGTGATCACTTACTACAGCTATAAGTTATAAAATGGTATCACTTTATACTTGTTTCTGTATAATGGTATATTAAAACTACTTTCTAAAGCTTATTATTAATGCGTAACTGTACACTGTTGTCAGTGTAATAGTTTCATAACTTCTGTCAAATATGATTTTATAGAACTACTAGCGGACCCGACAGACGTTGTCCTGTACACACGTCTTTAATTTCATACTTTTTTTAATGAGCTGAAACAATCTGGACCGCTTTGATGAAAATTATTATTGAAAAGTTATTACTTTGTTAAATAAATAACAGCATCGTAAATGAAAACTTTAACTCATTTTAATGAAAGGTGAAAAAGCTTGCACTCAAAACATTTTATAACATATATATTTATTTATTTTTAATTTACAAAAACTTAATTTATCGTAATGCCATTGGATGTACAATATTTTTAGTTAGTCCATGAGGAGTATAAACAAACAAACTCGATGGTTTTCCAACTCTGGAACACGCAACGTACAATTGGCCGTGAGAAAAACACGGATTTTCTAAATCTAAGCCACAAAATGTCATCGTTTGACCTTGTGACTTATTAATAGTCATAGCATATGCCAAACGGATCGGAAATTGTAAGCGTTTAAATGGTATAGGTGAATCTGAAGGAATCATTGGGATCCGCGGTAAAAGTACAATTTCACCTTGGAATTTTCCAGATAAAATATTCGCTTCAATAATGTTGCCCATGATTTTTTTTATAACTAATCGCGTGCCATTACACAATCTCGGGGCATTTAAATTACGAAGCAAAATTATAGGTGAGCCAATCTTCAGTCGCAAATTATGTGGTGGCATTCCAGGTAAATCTAAAGAATTCAAAAATTCTACTGGATAGTTGACCACTTCGTCAGGATCAACAACGGTGTCAATTGATTTAAATGTAATTTCATTACCAGGCAATGACTGTTGTATTTTAAAATTGATGGCGTCTACATCTAAATTTTTTGCAGCTAAAATAGCTCGCTCTCGTAGCCATTCATGATTAGTATAGTTATATCTTAAATCTGGAAAGATACTATTTATTAATTCATCTTTGGTAGCCACCATGTTGAAAAAGTTCTCTGGAAATTTAATAAATTGGGTATCTTCATACAGTTGAATTTTACCGTTGCCAATGTCTAACAATTGTTCAGAGAATCCTGACGCTAATGGATCATTTTGTAGTTGAACGCGCATATTGATAGTAAGGCTCAATTTACTGACACTCCGCCATAGATAAGATTCCTTCAAACATGCGTTTACTTCGTCTGCATATGTCGCACGTGGAATTACTGGCAATGTTTGCCTGAAATCACCAGACAGTAGCAGTAGAGCACCACCGAAAAGCCTAGTATTATCTTTGATATCCTTCAGGGACCTGTCGAGAGCTTCAAGCGAATGCTTGTGGGCCATTGTACATTCATCCCAAATAATAATTTTGCATTTTCTCAAAACTTCAGCCATGCCGGAATGCTTCTTTATGTTACACATTGCTTCGGGATTTGTATGAACATTCAAAGGTAACTTAAGTGCTGAATGCGCAGTCCGTCCACCATCAAGTAACGTCGCTGCAATGCCTGATGAAGCAATGGCCAATGCAATATGATTTTGTGATCGAATGCGCGCAAGTATCAGTGAGATGAGAAAGGTTTTACCAGTGCCACCTGGTGCATCCAAAAAAAAGAATCCATCTTGTTGTGTTGCAATTGATACGTTAATTTGATCATATACATTTCGTTGTTCAGCTGTAAGCAATTGTTCATTATTAGCAACAAAAGTAGCCAACGAAGTCTTATCAAACTGGTGTTCACGTTGAACATCACTGTTGATGATATCTACTGCTGGGCGGTTCGGCGCCGGCATGCCAAAATGGATGAGTGGCATGTTTGAAATAAGAATACAAATATCCTCAATCATAATTAAAGCCTCATTGTATATTTCTGCGGAGAATTGAATATCAGGATTTTGATTAGTAATTCTAATCCGATGCAAAATATCTTCACTCATTGAGTCTTTATATTTGTTCCAGAGAGCAGATGCTTCAGACGGAAAACACGTTGTTAATATTATTGAAAATAATTGACGAATTTGTTGTGGAGATGAGCTCAGTGCTGCATCTGCAAGTGTGAGATCCCAATGGTTATCATCCTCCAATAAATGTAACTCACGACACGCATCGAAGAAAGTGTCGTATAAAATACCATTGACTTTTCGTAAATATTGGAAGGATGTCGGTCCAAGAACATTAACCAATAACAAACGCAAAAAAAACATTCGCGTTGCTTAGGATGAACTGTATATAGTCGACCTAAAGTATTTGTCATAAATATGTCGGCGAATCCTGTGACTGGAATCCCTCGTTTTCGTGGTTCCCAATTTTTCGATTGCTTATTCCATGTAAAAAATTTAGGAACATCAGTATACATTAATGTTTTTGCGAATTGACCAACAACATCTTGTCGATTACAAAGATTGAAAAATTCAGTAAGAGTTGTTTTTGGAGCCGTTAATGCTTGTTGTAGTGCAGTCTGTTCTGTAAAATAAACACGCTGTCCGTTTTCAAGATGCACAGCCAAATGTATAACTGCAGGATCCCTTTCATGTATAGGAAACGTAAAAATGCGCCAGACAGCTTCATTGCTACTTATGTATCGACCCATTTGATAACGTGTTATTTCGTCATTGTCATTTACATTTTGAACAGCAAATATAGCTTTATCACTGCCCTTGTGAACGTACTTACAAATGTATTTGATAGATTTCACCAAACTGCACAGTTCAACGTTTATGTGCGCTTTATAGGTTTTGCATAGTAATGGCGAATATGGAACCACCCACCGATTATCAATATCTACTCTTACACCGTTTGACAGTCGCAATTCATACGATTGACCGCCATTATCTACGTCCCTGCGCCGGTAAGATGGATAACCGTCAATATTGGTGATAGTATCAGTTTGACATGGTTTTGGAAAACGTTTCGTACATTTTCCATCATTCATGCATGGTGACATCATGTTTAGAGTACCGCATGGACCATGAATCATATTAGTAGTAACAATGTTAAACAGTTCTTAATCAACATTCGAATCTGGAATTTCCGCTGAAATAATTTTGTCAATTTCTTCTGGGCGTACTTTATCCACCAACCAAATCAAAATATGCGAATGAGGTAAACCTCGTTTTTGCCACTCAACAGAGTAAAGCCAACAACGTGTTTCACCAAAAACCGAGTAATGTGTGATCAAATTCATCAAAGATTTTAATTATTGTTTAAAGACACGCGCAGTGATATCGTGGCGATGCATCGATGTTTGACCTGACAACAGCAAGTTTTTGATTTCATCCCAATTTGGATTACATGTAAATGTGATAAAAAGATCTGGTCGACCGTATGCACGTACGTATGTTATAGCGTCTTGAATATATTCTTGCATATGACGCGGACTACCAATATATGATGATGGGAGAATATATGTGGTACCGATGTTGTTAATGACGTTTGTTGCATCTACATTACCGATTACTGCATCACGCAAATGAATATACTCTTCAGCTCGAAGTTTTGCTTGATTGAATTTTATATACCTTAATCTTTCACTTTCAATTTTTACATACATATCGACGATGTACTGATGAAATAGCTGTCTACAGCGGAGAATATTATTATCTTCATTAGCACGAATCATTAACCGATATGCGTAGAAATTCATGGCACTAACTTTCTTGGTCAGTTCTTCACCTGTAAATAAATATAATTATGAGATAAACAAAAATTATTTATTCAAAAAAAAAATTGTAAGATAATCTATAAGTTGTACCTGTAGTTGGATTCCGTTGTTTAATATTTAAATGATATCCGTCTTCTCCTTCCCAAAATATTAACGGATACTGCAAAGCATCGTAAGAACGATGATTGTCTTGAATTATTTGCATCGTATTATCTCTGCGTTGTATGCGAATGTCTCTACGTTCACATGGGTCACCAGCCATAACAACTGCCACTTCATTAATGGTTGGAACATTATATGTGCCTGCGTGCTCTCCATAGGGTACTTTGTCTGCTTTAATAACAATGACATAGTTATCGTTTTGCAGTCTGTTAGAAAGAGTCTTGAACAATTGTACTAATTGGTTATGGTTTTGCAAAAACCTTTCCAAAATGTCCACAATTTCTCGTTCCTCCATCTGTTCTATATGGTTGTAAACGCAGCGTGTATGTGATTATTGCTCTTCATTCCCCATAAAATAAATTTGTAAAAATTTTGGATCGGCATCAGGCATTAGAAGTAACGAACCAATTTGGTGATATACTTGGCCTTGAATTTTGAATGTGGATTCAAAATTACGGCCATCTTCATTATGAATAATTTTTGTTGCTGCAAATGATGTCATTTGGAAGCATGAATTTAATTTACGAATTTTCCGTAAAAATAATTTCGATTGAGATGTGATTCCAGCTAAAAGCGTTTTTAAAGGTTCTGGTGGTGGTTTTAGCGGTGGCAGTGATATTTTTCCAGATGCGCAACATAAACCAGCTGATTCACCTTTGTACTTGAAAGCATGACAATGTTGACACTCTTTGTCCATACTACCAATCGTGATCAATGCATGTGATGAATAATCTATTTCAGGATCATATTCAAACGCGAGACGATTAAGTGATGCTCGTGCCAATGCTCGATTATCTTGTACTCGCTGTTGGTTACGTTCTCTATGTGCGTTGGTCGCTCGTTGACGTGCCTCTCGTTGTCTTAATGTATTAGCACGAAGACGTTGAGCACGTTGCTCTAAATTTTCATTTGCACGTGTACATGCAGCTCGATCTCTTAAATTTACATTATCCATAGAATGTTCTTCTACTGTTCTATTCAATCGATGATCATGAACTAATTGCGCGTGCTGAGTACGTCGACCAATATTTCTTGCTCTTCCACGAAGACGTGGCATTTTTCTACAAAAATAAAATATTGCTAAATAATATACAATGAATATGAGTTACTTATTGATAATGAATTTTTAATTAATTAACTCAAAAGATTTATTATGACAAATTTTAGATAAAGAACATGTAATCGCATTTTGTGAGTTTTTTTATTTAATATCTCCAAAAATGAATTAATTGTCAATAAAAATAATTAAAAAAATTCAATCCTCTAACTACACAAATAAACTTGAAGGTTATGTTGGTTGTTAATAAACGCACGTGTAAATTAAAAAAGATAATTTATAAAAAATATACTCACTTCGATTCCGCACTAAATTTACAAAATGTATAAGTTATTTATATACACTTCAGAACTCTTCGAAAACTAATAAATATTTTAATTAGCAACTTCACTTGAATAACACAATTATAACACAAAATAACGAAATACTTGTTCAAATTGATCGTAGCACTATCTGTCGGGACAAACTAAAATTAAAATAGAATAATATTGAATGCGATGGTAGCGCCATCCGTCGAATCTGATGTAAAACATTCCAAAATCAAAAACTCCTTACAAATAAAAATTAATTAAAAAAACATCTGAATTCACAAAATTATTTATACACACTTCAAAACTCTTTACAAAATAATTACATTTAATATTTTAATCAGCACATGAATTGAATAACAAATTTTTTTCAAATTAATCGTAGCACCATCTGTCGGGACAAACTAAAATTGAAATAGAATAATATTGAATGCGATGATAGCGCCGTCCGCCGGATCTAATGTAAAACATTCCAAAATCAACAACTCCTTATAAATAAGAAATTAATTAAAAAAACATCTGAATTCACAAAATTATTTATACACACTTCAAAACTCTTTAAAAAATAATTACATTTAATATTTTAATCAGCACATGAATTGAATAACAAAATTTTTTTTCAAATTAATCGTAGCACCATCTGTCGGGACAAACTAAAATTGAAATAGAATAATATTGAATGCGATGATAGCGCCGTCCGCCGGATCTAATGTAAAACATTCCAAAATCAACAACTCCTTATAAATAAGAAATTAATTGAAAAAACATTTTCCAGTAGACCAAACTGTAAATCTAAACCATTCTCGAATATCCACGAACACACACAAAAAATTTCATCAAAATTGGTCCAGTCGTTTAGGAGGAGTTCAGTCACATACACACGCACACAAGAAATATATATATTAAGATAATAATAAATGAATTCTGTAATACAGCTTTAATCTGTATTACTGACAGTTGTCCTTGATTTGTAAAAACGTGTGGTGAATAGAAATATGTGGAAAAAAAGAAAAACATGTGGTGGAGTAAAAAGGAAAATTAAAAGAGAATATCAAAATATTATTAATTATCAACCAAACAAAACCAGTGATACTGAGCCGTCATGGGAAGACATTGAAAAGAACAAATTCATTGATCGAACAATCGATAGTCAAGCGCGAGTTCAGTCAACGTCTAATGAAGGTTCCGTAGCAAAAACGGCATACGATAATAAAAGTGAGGATTTAGAAAAGCCTCCGGAACTTGATAGTGATTTAGATTCATGCAGCAGTGCAAGTTCAAATAATGATGATGATTTTTCAAAAAATTTAACATTCCGTCGTCAAATTAAGGAATGGGCTATTGAAAGAAATATATCTCAAATAGCTCTTAGCGACTTAGCTACAATTTTATATTGCAGATTTCCGGGAATTTTACCAAAGGACGCCAGAACAATTTTAGGTACTGTCAAACAAATACATATAAAGACTATAGAAAATGGAGAATATTGGCATAATGGTCTAACTAAATGTCTACGTAAAACATTGGAAAACTGGGTTGATGTTCCTAACAAAGTGAAATTAAATTTTAATTTTGACGGTCTCCCAATATTTAAAAGCTCCAATAAAGAATTTTGGCCAATATTATGCAATATCTATGAAAGACCTGACATAGATCCATTTGTTATTGGTATCTATTTTGGTGTTGGAAAACCAAAAGATATTGATCAATATTTAGATGATTTTGTAAAAGAAATAGGAAATTTAATAAAAGAAGGAATTTATATCGAAAAACCAAATAAAATAGTATCCATTGAAATCAGATGTTTTATATGTGATTCTCCAGCGAGAGCTTACATTAAAGGTACCCAAAGTATATAATCTTATTACAAATTACAGATTAAGCTAGCTACTAGATATTATAAAGTATCCAAAACGTATAATTAAAATTTCGACTGTGGTATCAATAATAATTCTTGTATTATTTAATTCTCAGGCGTATGTAATTTTAATGCAAAACACGGTTGTCTGAAATGTGTTACTGTAGGGGAATATTCACACTTATCACATACAGTGACATTTCCTGAAACCAATTGCCGCCCTAGAACAGATCAAGAATTTCGTGATAAAAAATATGGGCCTCACCATAAAAAAGATTCTCCTATACTGAGGTTGCCTGTTGACATGATACAAGACTTTCCGATAGCAGATTCTCTACACCTTGTTGATTTAGGAATCATGAAGCGGCTCTTAGTTGGTTGGCGCAACGGTAATTTCGGAAAATACATTACCAAATGGAGTGCCAGAAATTCTGAAACAGTTTCGAATTTCTTTGTAAAACGAAAATTGCCATCTGAAATTCACAGATCAGTGAGAGGACTAGACTGTCTTTCTCACTGGAAAGCTTCCGAATATCGATCATTTTTACTATATTTGAGCATTGTCATACTTCCAGAAGTATTACAACATGACGCATTTTCACATTTTCTGGCATTTTTTTGTGGTATAACAATATGCTCTTATAAAAACTATAGTCATTTTCTTCCTTTGGCAAAAGAGCTCCTACAATATTTTGTTGAGCATTATAAAGACTTTTATGGGCCAGATTATATAACCAGCAATGTTCATAATGTAGTGCATCTCACAGACGAAGTGCAACGATTTGGCCCGCTACATACATTTAGCGCTTATCCTTTTGAGAATAAATTGTATTTAATAAAAAGAATGCTAAGACATGGCAACAAACCTCTTGCTCAAGTGGCAAAGAGATTTAGTGAAGATTCAGCATCAGAAATGAGTAAGGGCAGAGAAAGTCGGCAAATCGCATATGTGGAACCCTTTGTTACGACCAATAGCAGAAAAATAAATGCACTAAATTTTAGAGATTTTAAAATTTCTGTAAAGCCTCAAGATAAATATGTATTATGCAACAATAATGACATTTTGGAAGTGACAAAAATAGAAACCGCTGTTAACAGTGAAATAAAGATTACATGTTATAAAATTACTGACATATCCGATGTTTTTGAACTACCGATTAAATCATCGTTTTTGAACATATTTAAAGCCAAATTACCTACTACCAGGCGGACAGAGACCATAGTTAGTCCCAAAGATATAAAAACAAAACTAGTATGTACTGATCACAAAAATTACTTATACTTCGTACCCCTTTTACATACAGTTAAAACGAGAAATAAAAAACCTTGTCATTGAGAAAATGTATTTTTATTCATTGAAAAACCCGAAAGCACTTCAAACATAATAGAAATATCCATCAGTGGATATCTTAAGTAATTAAAAATAATCTAAGAGTTACTTATTTATTAGATACACAAGAAAAACAGTTACATAATTTTGTGTCTTAAACTACAATCACAGTCACGATAATTACGTGTTTTCTTAAAGACAATCACAGTCACGAGATTACGTGTTTTTATAAATTCTGACTAAGCTAGGTAACTAAAATCAGGATGTATCGGAAAGGGTGTATCAAGCCGAAACGACACGAATCTATTTTCCAGGGAACATGGGTCGAAATATAAAAAATATTAGGCTCCCCATACTAAATCAATCAGCTGCGCGCCCAATTAGCATGGAATGATAAAATATTTTTTTCATATTTCGACCCATGTTCCTTGGGGAAAATTGTTCGATATCATGGGTAGATTCGTGTCTATTCGGCTTGATACACCCTTTCCGTTATACCCTGTATTATATAACGAGATCACTCATCAGGAAAAAAGAACTAAACATGGCGTAACGGAAATCGCGGATAATACGTATAAACAGGGGTAAGTAATCCTACTAATTATGTTGAACAACTTCCGCTTTTTTCATGGGAAAGTCGTTCAGTATAACGTAGAATTACTTCTTATAAGTACTTATTGATTTATCCGCAATTTACATTATACCATGTGTAGTTCTCATTTTTCTGAAGAGAAATTCCTACTTTAACATACTCTATTCCTCTTCCTCCTCTTCCTCTTGTTCTTTTCTTTCATTCGCAGCATCTTCGTTGGTGTTTATTGTTTTATTTGCAGCGACGTCTACTATGACCTCTTCCTCTTGTTCTTTTCTTTCATTCGTAGCATCTTCGTTGGTGTTTACTATTTCATTTGTAGCGTCGTTTACTATGACCACCACATTATCAATTTGATTGGTGTTAGATTCATTTTGATTAATAAGTTTGTTTTTTGCCGTTTGTTTTCATAAATTTCACATTGTAATTCTCATAAAAAACCAATGAAGAACTATTATCTTTTTAAGAAACTTATAAGAGAATAACTATATGCCTATGGTTTTCTTCAACACCATACTACAGCTCTTATACAGCTATTAGTACAGCCTATTTTTTAGCTATACAGCAACTATACAGCTATAATAATGCATAAGGCTGTATAACAAGGGGCCCAATTTTTACTTATAGAGGTTGTATAAGCGCTTATACAGCCCTTGTACAGCCTCACTATATAGCCTGTGGAATACAATAAAACTAAAATACAGCTTCTATACAGCCTGTCGTGCTGCTTGGGTGTTTGCTGTACTTTAAAACGCGCGATCCAAGCAAATGGAAAAAAAGTTGCCAAAACACTGAAAAGTTCTGGTCAACAATATACTTCTTTAAAAACTGGTATGGTTAAAGCAGCTAGAATTATTAGGCCGCCTTATTCAGATAAATGCCGGCTGGACGTTCATCAAAATTTGAGTATTATTTTAGTATAGAAATTTAAAGTATGCAAGACATTTTTTTGTGAATACTTCGGGTATCACAGAATTTTTTTTACGTACAATTATAGAAGTCAAGCATGACGATGAAGGCCTTAACATTATGAAAGAAGATGGAAGATAATACCAGGGCAAACAAATCATATTAGACGAAGAAATAAAGCAGTCTGTTAGAGGTCACATTAACTCGATACCAAAGATAGAGAGCCAATTTTTAAGATAGACTAAGTAAGAAGTATAAAAGTTTTTTCTTAGATTTACGCGAATACTTGACGTTTTAAATAAAACGATCTTTTCGGATTTATTCGCGAATTTATTTTGATTTTTGGTTCCCGACGTTTCGAATGCTTTACAGCAATCATGGTCACGTGAGAGACTGAGGTTTTAGATGTCTCTAAGGATTATATTCGCTTCGATAGACCTCAAATCCTGGCGAAAGAAAACCGATATCGCCCCAGAATGATTCGAGAAGCCATAGAAATAAAAAAACATCCAAATTTCAATAGGGAAGATGGCTGGGTACTACCATCGTCATGGGATCCTGTTATTAATATAATAAAATCTAATAATAAATCTAAACATAACAGGTAGATGTAGTAAGTTCTTACTGTGTAGATCAAAATGATAGCATTTCTGATTAATATTTTTCACTTTTTCATTTGTAAACTTCCGGCATCTTTGATACCGGCCTTGTAGGGCGTGACATTTATTATCTTGAGTTGTGCACGTCTTCATCTTTTACCATTTCTGCTTTATTGTTTTTAGCTGTAATTTATTTTGATACCTTTGTTTTAATTTCGTTTCTCTAAGTCTAGTAATGTGTTGCTTAATAATATAATTTGTTTTTTTTTAAATAATAGCAAATTTAAATTTAAATTATTATTTTTAATTAATCTTAACTTTTTCAAATTACACATAGATCAATTGTGGCTTAAATAATTAATATATTATGATTTTTTTCTTTATGGTTATAAATATAATAATGGCAACACTAAAAATTGTAGATTAATAATATATATTTTAAAATTGTAATAATTATAATAATAACAGCTCAAATTAAATAAATAATATTCCATATTCAATTATAAGCTAATTAAAATTATATAAAAAATTTTTAAAGTTAAAAGTTAAAATGTTGTAAGGTACTTTAGTGCCATTTTTCAATTTTTTGAATTCATTTTGTTAATTGTGGGTAGGCTGTCTGTAACAACTATATAATACCTTAGAGACATCTAACACCTCAGTCTCTCCCGTGACCATGATTGCTGTAAAGCATTCGAAACGTCGGGAACCAAAAATCAAAATAAATTCGCGAAAAAATCCGAAAAGATAGTTTTATTTAAAAAGTGTAAAAGTATTTGATTAAATATTTTTTTTTAAATCTATCTTATTTTTTTACTTTGTTATACCGTTGCGATAAAGCTCAAAACTGAGTAACCTACCTGCCAAGTGACGCGCAGTCTCTCAAGACTTTTCAGCTAGCAACCTACTAAACAAATAAGTCTCACAGCGCTACACCTCTAAGTGAAGATGCAAAAAGTATATGTGTAACGACTGATATGTGGAAGTCCCGGAATAATGACGTATTTAGCGGTAACGGGTCATTATATTGATAAAAAATTTAGTTTGCAATCCGTCCTCTTTGAATGTAAAGTGTTAGAGTCGTCACATAGGGCTAAATTTAGCCGAAGAGTTAAGGAATGTCGTTCAAGAGTGGAATATTTTTGACAAAGTTCTCCTGGCGGTATCAGATAACGGTGCCAACATCAAAAATGCTATATAGCTCAATTAGAGTGGAAACATTTTGGCTGTTATGCACATATGCTTAACCTGGCAGTCCAACAAGTATTAGGTAGTTCTTACTTAAACGACTTAATTAGTAAAGTGAAGGCTATAATTTCCTACTTCAAGCGAAGTAATTTAGCATGGACTAAATTGAAAAAAAAACAGGAACAGGCTAATAAAGTCGCAAAGAGGCCAATCCAAGATGTTGTTACAGGGTGGAACTCCACACTCTACATGTTAAACAGGATTGTGGAACTAAAAGACGAAATTAAATGTGCACTCAGTAATCTAGACACCGGTAATTTAGTTATTTTAAACAATTATGAATGGGATATATGCCAATCGTTGATCAGTGTTACAACCGTGTGAAGAAGTGACGAGAGAAATGAGCAGCCAAAAATATGTAAATGGTTAGTGGAAGCTCAGTCATTCCGTTAACAAATGGTCTCATCAGCGCTCTTAACGAGATCGCAAGTCTAACATATCGGCAAGAAAATAACATTGACGTTTTTCTTGATGAAATTTAAATGTGCCGACACGATCTCCTCTCAGAAATATGCACGCGATTTTCAAATTTGGAACTGAGTCGAACTTATACTGTCGCTATATTTTTAGACCCGAGGTATAAGTTATACTTGGAGAGTGAAAACGTTGCAGAAAATACGAAAAAGCATATCATTGGCCTAGTAATCACAATGATTAATGAAACTGAAAGATGTCATGTCTTCAGCATCAACTTCTGATGATCCAGATAACAAGGAAAAAAATTAAACAGTTTATTATGGAAGCACTACAACAGGCTTATTCAAAATGTACGACTAGCTGGAACCGCCAGTAGCAGGGCAATCGTCGAAACCCAAAAATATCTAGATGACGCAGTTTTGACCCCAGATATGGATCCTTTGGAGTGGTGGCGAATAAACCAAACAATTTATACGAATTTAGCGAAACTGGCCAAAATAAAATTATACGCAATGGCCTCTAGCGTGCCTTGTGAACGGTTGTTTTCTGTAGCGGGGAACATATTAACGGAGAGGAGGACCCATCTGGGGAATCGTAAAGTAGAACAGTTATTGTTTCTACAACAAAATAAAAAATAAAGCTAAATTTTAACAAAAAGTAACAAAAAAAAAAACAAAAATACAAAAAGAAACCTATGTATATAAAATGAAATCTTTTAACTACGCCTGCTAATATTAATTTATATTCTAGCTCATATCGAAATGCCGTAAACACACAATATAGCGGACAATACAAATATACACGGTACATATCTGCTTGTCTTAACCTTTTTGAAAATTCTGATAGGAGCACATATCCTGCATTACCAGTGCTGGGCTCATAAAGTTAACCTTATTGGGGATGTTTATATCAACGAATTTAAGGAGTTAAATATGTTCACAGCAAACGTCAAGTCAGCTTTTCGTCTTTCAAGAAAAATGAAGAATTCTTACTTGAAAGAAAACGTACCTGATCTGCCAGCGAAATTTTATCCAGCTCCAGTTGTTACTCGATAGAACTCATGGTTTACAGCGGTCTCTTATCTCAGTGAATATTTGAATCACATGACTTGATTTCTTCAATGAATAAAGTTACGCTGATGAAACTTTTAAACGGAAACTAGAAATTCAGATGACATTCATTATCGAGTTTTGCCCAAAAATAATGAAAATGATTGATTAGGTGGAAGGTTCAAATTATCCATTGCCCATCTTTTATGGAACAAGCTGGAAGACTTACAATCATGACTCGAACGCCACCGCCAAGGTTATTTTAATGAAAAAACATCACGTTTACTCAATGAGTACAAAGTAATTGATGGTTCACTTAAATAAATGCTTATAAAAGCAAACTACAAATGCTTTAATCAACTTGCACTCCACATGGCAAAACGAGACAAACGAGGCTTTCTTTCACATTGGACAATTATTTAACCCATCTGTAGCTGCAAGTTTGACTTTAAACCCGGACAGACTTTTAGAAAGTTTTCTTAAAATTCCTTTTTTTAGAAAACTCGCCAAAAATGAAACAATAGATAGATATGCTCACTTTCATAAATTAATCATACAATCAATTCACAGAAAACAAAATCCCAATGTGAAAGACATTTTGCTCACTACACAATGTTGCTTTCCATCCTTGGCTAAAGCAGCATTACAGAGCATCTGGAGTCCAACCAGCAGCGTAGACGCAGAACGGTTCTTCAGCAAATACAATGTCGTCGTAACAGACCAAAGAACAGCTCTTAAGGAGTCGAATGTAGAAATTGCAACGATGTTAGCATTTAATTTATATGAATATAGTGTTTCATCCGAATTTTTTTTTTGTTATTACGATAGATACTTATAAATGCGAAATTGTTGCGAAATTTCCTTTTTATTAAAAAAATAAATGCGAAATTCAAGTTTTTTTATTTGTGAAAATTCCGTACCTCTACTAATAATACACCTAAAAGTACTGTATTTGTAAATGATCATGGAGCTGTCAACGGATTAACGGCAGAATTTTGAACTACGGATTAAAACCCGGGGAGTATTTTACCAATCTTATTAATATTTAATAACTAAATCACTCATTTTATACTCAACACCACTCACATTAAGTAACGTCAATTCTCACATTTTGGCACCGTTAATATCTCATTTTGCTTGACAAGCTGGAAGCAAAGCTGTAGATGAAAACATTTGCCACAGACAGTCTTATTCAAATACACTACACAATTTACACTTAAAGCAGCTTAATTATAATAAATTTTTAAGAGGCGATGTAGATCATATATCCAGAAGAGATAAATAATATGCAGTCTTCCAATGATGAATTTATTATTACACAGAATTGAATAAATACATATTGGTCGTCAATAACTTCAGATCGTTTAGATAAAATTAGATTATAATTTATAATATATTTGTTAGACATGCACATTTCGGAGGTTCAGAGAGGAGAGAGAGCAGATTATTAAATTGTCATAGATTAATCATTGTCACAGACTATAAAGATAATTACTTACAGATAATATTGCGTTTTATGCATACTAAACATTATATGGTACTTTAACATAAATATCCTGTTATTATTCTTAAGAGTATTATGTATATAATATGAGATAATTATAATATTGTAATATTTTATAACGTTATAGATACCTACTTAGTATGTATAAAGCTAATACCCTATTTTATTATAATATAATAATTTCGTTTCAATATACTAAACAGTTACTAAACATAACTGTGAAATTCATGAGCATAAACCACCATTGTTTTTCTGTTTAATTTTTCCTTACATGTAATATACTTAATATCTCTCCTAACTATTTTAATTAATAATATTTATATATTCCTAATTTCACTTGTCTTTACTTTGTCCTCATAATCTCACTTCCCATACTTTATTACAGAATACTAGCGACTCACCCTCGCTTCGCTCGGGTTCGTGTCCCTAGCTTGCTTCCCCATACAAACTTTCATCCCCATTTTCACCCCCTTAAGGAATAATTTCCGAGATAAAAAGTATCCTATGTCCTTTCCATCTTATAGAAATATCACTGAATAGGTTACAACGCGGTCACGGTTCCATACCTACGTGTATGTCGTATTATCTCTTTAACCATTTGTCTAAATTATATGCCGTAAAAGGGAAAAGTTTTTTGTTTAAACAACTTAGACGATAAATTTACTTATTTTGATAAGAATTCATAATTGTTGATAATATGACCAATAAACATGACCTCCCTCCTCATGATTAAATTTTTTTTTTAATATAAGAAACTGTTTTTTGTACTTAAATATAAAAGTTAAGACATATGCTGTTGCTGACTTTTTTGTAGGCATTATTAAGCTCTACAACTTTTCTCTAGAACATAATCATATATCTCTCATCGTTAAAGCAGCGTTCGTAAGAAACGTTTTCGTTCGATCGTTTTATATCCGACTTACTTTGCATATCCGACTACCATGAAAAAGTCTTTTCATTCTTCGGGTTAATATATATAAAAACTGCTTATTAAGCATGCCACCTGTCAATACCGGCTCTGTGAAGAATGCTTAATAAGCACGCTTCTATTTTTACTGCCTTACGACTCATTTTACTATAATTATATAGTATTTAATTCTATTCTGACTATTCCTATTCTGCTCTTACTTTCACAAAGTGTACTTAAAGAAATAAGGATAGCATGAGACCTTAGAAAACGTTTATAAAATACACCTATATTGAGATATAATCTATACAAAGTCGGCCCTCAGTTCCCACGGTCTTTTCAGCTAGTACATTATTTCCTTGTATGAGTTTTAATATGCGCGCATTAGTACGAAGACTGATTATTAGATGGCGCTATCTGACAAGCTACGTTTGCTTTTACGCATACAACGAATGTATAGTATATTTGACTAAACAGACATTTCCCAAGTTTTAAATTTTTACAGAACATTATTTATCTAATTGTGTTTATAAGAATTCACTACCGACAGGAAACTATTATAAAAAACATTCTCTATGTGAAAAAGAAATGTATTAAACGGAACGTAATTTCCAAATCTTTCTGTCAACTGTGTCAAGTCACAAGTGTCACTCAAGTTCAGATTTTCTTTCCGTTTGTTTTCGAAACTGCTCATGGTGTTTTTTAAGCTTTTTGGTGATATCTCTCGACGACTTCAGCGTGGATTTTATGGATTTTGGTGATTCTGCTTCATACGTTTGACCCGTGCTCATTCTTGGACTCCGACGTTTGTGTTTTTCTCTCGTGTACCCCGGCTTCGTCAACAGGACTTCGATTTTCCCTCTTTGAAATGGCTGCAAAAGAACGTTGTTGTGTTCCAAGCTGTGGTAAGCTTTTGTTTGTAGATATATTTTATTTAGATGTAATTCTATGCACTTTAATGCAGTTAAAATCTTTTAAAATGAGTATGACTTATTGTCATTGGTTTATTTATGTTTTTAAATCAATTATCATTAATGGTATGCCCCATAAGGGAGCCCAACGTCAAGCATAACCATTCTACTTCAAATAACATCTTTTCAATAACATAATAAGGAGACCCTCTAAATTTTACCAATAACATAACATTTTCAGGTTCACAAAATCATATCCTGCACAAGTGTCCTCATCCTGAAAAAGAACCTGACCGTTTTAGAACATGGCTATATGCTGTTGGAGGAGATTTACTGTCACTACACTTGGAGTAAAAGGCTAGCTCATAATGCCATTCCAACTCTCCATCTACCAGGTAGGTATTTATTATTACATACATAAAGTCACACCTATATCCCTTATGGGGTAAGCAGAGCAAGACAATAAAATAATTGATCCTGATGCCACATCTATCAAGGACTGGAGGGTTATAATATAAGAAAGTAAATTTAATCAATAGTGATAGGTTGTTTGCCTATTGCCTACAAAACATCAAACCCTCCAATACTGCTACTGACTCTTACAGTACATTTACATGTGGGTAGAAATGCAGCTAGAACCTTCTATGTTTTTCTTTCACTCCCAGTCCAGCATGGAAGCATTGCCTATTGTTATTATTTATTTGAAAAGTTAAATTATGATGATAGTAAAGAGCTTTGCTACTTTGAAATATATTAATAAAAATTGTTGCAGGATTCTTTGTCAAAAGGCAACCAATGGCAGAAGTCACAAATCTTGCTATTGCTTCCACATCATCAGCAAATTTAAAGAATACTACAGCGGAGTCATCCATATTGGGTTAGTAGTAATATCACTAGAAAAGAATAATGGATAAGTAGGAACTCATCTTTAATAATCATTATTTATTTATGTATTATAGCATCACAGTTATCATTTACACTACCTTGTCACAATATCTTTATGCTTGGCATGGCTCAGTCACCACACCATGAAAGCTGCTCACTGTTGCTGCTGCTCAGAATAATACCCGTCAAGTCTAAAACTGGGTTTTACTAAAAGAATTAAAAGGAAGGAGTCTACTAATATAATAAGCTTCCCCTGCCGATTGTTTCTTTATATTAGTAGATATTAGTAGGATATAACTATCTAACTATGTAACTTTGCTGGATCAGCAACCCAAAATGACACTGGCAAATGGCATAAGTAGAATATGGCAATGGAGAATATGAAAAATACTAATAAACATTATACATTACACGTGCGAAGGAATTGCAACAAGTGGGTACTGTTGAGCCAAATTGTACTCAATCAGATGAAAATAAAACTGAAATTGAAAAACCCAAAATATATTTTAAAAGAGGTAAGTTGCAATGACAATATCTGGTAGCAATTAAAAAGTTACAACAGCCTCCTAAGGCCAGGATTGAATGCAGCTTAGTCATTACAGCCCACAGTCCTATCAGTAGGACTATTTAAAATTATACACAATTTCCAACTACAACATCTGTAATTGGACTGTACAATGGTACAGTCTTTCAGTGTCAACACCATTATACAGTTTCAGTGTTTTCAAGTTTGTCAATTTCAGAAATTTCTTTGATACTTACATCTTTTAAAATAATTATTACCACTTGTACGACAGAACTGCAAATGGCTTGAGCAGTTTATTATCACCAATGAAAATAAGACTGTATCAATCTTGTCATACAGTGGACAATTTTATGAATATCGACGTTGACATCAAGCGACGCATATTCATACAATTTTCTACTCTATGTTAATAATAATAATATAGTCCTATTTTCAATGGTGACAGTGGACTGCTTGAGCAGTTTGCAGTTCTGTCTGAGCTGACCCTTACACTGTAATATTCTTACTGAACTGAAATAGTAATTTCAAAAAATTAAACTGACTTCAATACCCATATCTCAAAGACTACTGAACCGATTTTGATGAAACTTAAGACTGTTCCCTAAGTTGGAATATACCTGATTTAAATAAAATACGATGTTACTACTACATACCTACTTGATGCCACCTATTATTATGTTAAGTTTATATTATATTATGTAACTATTATTTATAACATCTATCGTAAAATGCCATTTTGTCTAATACATATAGCACAGGAAAAATAGAATTTAACCTCGCACAAAATTTTCGATCCAATTTTTCTTTTTTATAAGGTTTAAGGTGACTTACTGAGCATAAAATTACAAAATGCTGACAGATCCAGGTGGAGCTTCAAGCGCCATCTTAATACAAAGTTTTTGGCTTATATCTCGGAAACAATGCACTTTAGAGCAAAAGTTACTCAAACCATTATTGTAGACCATAAAATTTCTCATCCTTTATTTCCTGTGTAGCATACTTACCTGTGCTCCACCTGTAAAAAACCTTATTATAATATATAATTATAGTAACAATAATAGATAATCAGTATTGTAATATATGTAAATGTAAACCAACTATAATAAATTATTAGTATTGTATAACTGTTAAAATAGTATTTAATTGTATCTAAATAACATACATAAATAAACTACATAAATAAATATACATATAAATAATATCATATAATGTAACAATATGTAAAAGTATAGAATAATATATAACTTACTCGTATAATATTGTACTTAAATATAGTAGTAATTATACTAAATACCTTATTATCAAATTAGATGTAAAATAATTAAAACATTTCATAAATTATTAAACTTTATATAGTAGAACTGCATGTCGGAAGGCGGTCGTGGCCGCGTCGTTGGGCATTTTATAAATGTTGCAATCTGCGTTGCCGATCTGGGGGGAATTCCCCTTTTTGGGGGGAATTTCACGTATGTGAGGGGCAAAAAAGGGTTATAAGAATAAAAGGGGAATTCAATACTCCAAATGCAATAAATATATAATTTATACTTGTATGTACATCTAATAAGGCTGGATGGGCTATGATTCTTTTGCCTGTCCCCTTAGTTGATAAAAAGAAACTAAAAAATAAGGTCTATGGCTAGACTTGTTGGCTGCGTCCTGCGTCTTTACGTGTTGGTTAGTTTCGTTGCACAGAGATGGCACTGTGGCACAGAGTCAGACGTCAGTCAGTCAGAGTAAATATTGTTCTGTGGTCAGAGTGTTTATTTTTCTTGTAAAAAGTTTTGCTAAGTTACGATGGATAAATTCATCAGTAAACTAACCAAAAGATCTCGAGAAAAGGTATATATTTACTCACTATTATAAAATTATTTCGAAATTGATAAGTAGGCATTTCTAAAGTGTTTTTACTATTGTATAACTAGTTAAATCATTACTACAATACGAGACATTTTTGGGCATTTCATAGAATGAATAAGTTTAAACTGCACGTCTTTACTAATTCCTTGGGCCATTAACGTAGTGTTCTATCCTACTGACTAGACTATTTGGGGCTATTCACATTCCTAACCTCTAAATACCTAAATATGTAGTTCGAGTTTTTAAATTTGTTTTGCTTTTTTTCTCTTCATTTTGGCATCACGCTACTTGCGTATTTGTCACAGAGATATTTTATAATTTTAACGTAGCGAAAAGCGGAGAAACGTTTTTGTATTGTTTTTTTGCTTTCGATGTTTTTTCATAATCAATGTTGCAACAGTATAACTATTTTCCCTATTGTCGGGTATTTCTGAAAGCCTAAACGCAATATTTTGTGCATATCAAGACTAACGATATTTTAAATTATATCCATTTTTAGGAGATAGCCAGTGCCATAGATGACGGAAATTCACCAAGTACTTCCAGTTCTGTTCAAGAAGTGGCAAACAACTCTGAGCAAATTCCTTCTACATCTGCACAGATGACATCAAGCACTCGTGAAGAACCTATCGAAAAAAAGAAACGATTTAATAAATTTCTAGATTCTTGGACTACTCGGCCTGAATTCAAGGGATGGTTAACGAAACACAATGAAATTAGAGATGGTCACGAACTAGCATTTTGTAGAATTTGTAATATGACTGTAATCGCACACAAAAGTGACTTAATACGCCACCTGAATTCAAAAAAACATCTTCGAATTTCTAAACAAGTATCGGGATCAAAAAAAATTGACGATTTAGTGCGGGAATCATCTGTAGACGTTAAAGTACGTCGTGCAGAATTAAAGCTTTGTGCAATGCTTGCTACAAATAACTTACCGTTCTCGTTGATGGACACTGTTATCCCTTTAGCTAAAGACATTTTCACAGACTCTGAGATCGTAAGCAAATTGGCAGTACGACGAACTAAAGCCTCTCATTGTATAAAAAATGCTTTAGGCAACAACTTGGCTAATATTGTGTTTGATGCACTTAGAGTTCCTGGCGCTTTCTTCTCCATAATTATGGATGAAACTACAGACTGTAGTACTATTAAACAGCTTGCGTTCACAGTTATTTATTTTAATGTTGAAAGTAACAAAGTTGAGACCCATTTTTTTGATATGATAGAGGTCAAATCCGGAGATGCCATATCTTTAGTGAAGTATTTAACAAATGTGATAGAATCAAAACAAATACCATTATCGAATCTCATAGGCTTCTGTTCAGATACTACGAACGTAATGATTGGAGAGCACAACTCAGTGTTTTCTCATTTGAAAGCCGCATTACCTAGCATAGCGTGCATCAAATGTTCCTGCCATTTAATACATTTAGCAGCATCTAAAGCATGCTTAAAACTCCCACGATCTGTCGAAGATCTTATAAGAAACTTGGGGTCGCACTTCAGCCGCAGCTCTTTTAGACAAGAAAAATTCGCAGAGTTTCAAGCTTTTTTTCAATGTGATTTACACAAAATTTTGAACGTAGCTACAACACGCTGGCTGTCTGTGAAAAACTGCGTAGATCGTGTGTTACAACAGTATACTCCCCTGAGAGAATATTTAAGACTAGCTGTTTTCGAGGATCCCTCTAAAACAACCGAAGAAATGGTGGCTACAATGGATAATGAGTTCACGGTTATTTATTTAGAATTCATGTCTTATACTTTAGGTTTGCTGACTCAATTCAATTTATTGTTTCAGTCAGAAACACCACTGCTATATAAAATGAAATCTTCAGTCGAAAATCTGTTGAAAACTGTGTGTAGCAATTACATCACATTTTCTTATGTGAAGTCTTGTACTGATATAATGAAAATTGAGTTTGATGATGAATCCAAATATGACAGATTGGACAGAGTGTATCTAGGTGTATTAGCTACCGAAAGCTTACAAAAGTTAAAAAATAACTCACAGGTTCCTGAAACTGATGTCAATATGTTTTTGATAACTTGTCGCAGCTTTTATGTGGAGTTGGCTAAACAAATCCTACAGAGGTTTGACTTTAAGGACAGTCTTTTTAATTTTATTGACTTGGTAAATCCTTCTGTTGCTCAAAGTTTCACTTTTAAATCTTTGAAGCCAATCTTTGTAAGATTTCCAGTATTGTACGATTATTACAACATGCAAGAAGTTGACGATGAATGGCGAGAACATGCTCTACTTGATCATGAAAGCTACGACTTGCATCCTTCAGATGGTGCTGAGGAGTATTGGCGTAAAGTTTTCCACTTAAAAAATGCCCTTGGTCAAAGTTTGTTTCCAAATTTAAAAGGCATTTTAAATGCCTTGTTAGTTTTACCTTTCTCGAATGCATCCGTGGAACGTGTATTTAGTTCTCTCAAAAATATTAAAAATGATCATAGAAATAAACTAAAAACAAGCACGATAGTTGCCCTAATGCAAACTAAAGACCAAATAAAAGATTGTGTAAAATTTGAGCCGACAATAAATATGCTCAAAGCGAACCTATACAAAAAGTGATGTATTTGTTTTAGTTTTTGGAATAAAGTTTTCATTAATAAAACATTTTTATTCTTTTTTTCCTACATCATGAACTTCGAGGGGAATTTTGCAATAAAAAGAGGAATTTTTCAACGTGACGCGGGGAATTTACAAAACTAACTGTGGCAACACTGGTTGCAATAATCCTCAACCGGTACGAGAACAATAGGCATCGGCGACGCAATCATGCGCCGGCCGGCTGACCGCCTCACGCCACAGTCCACAACAGCTACTCAAAGTGAACGCATGTTGCTCTTTATCAGCTCCGTACTTAATTTTGCTATCGTAGTTAATTTAACTTTCACTTTCGTACTTCCATCTTATCATCTGTGTATACTAAACTGCTTGTGCTTACCTATGACTATTTCTTCTGTGAATTTCTTCCGTGCCTTCTGACTGTAACCTGTTTCGCTAAATAAACTGTGTAGTGAACATTTAAAGTGGCGTGATCATTTGTTGCCTAATCATCCGCACATACATCTCACTCACCCCACACCTGTAATCTTTTTTGTAAAACTTACAGTTTACGATTTATGGCCAATTTAATGAACCATTTTTTCTGTCTTAGCATTCAACTCTCAAAAAATTGGATTAATCAATAAAACGCATGTTCAATAAATCCTAAACGGTAAGTTTAACAAAAAAGTTTATAAGAAATAAAAGATGCGAAATTTTATTCTCTACAATAATGGTTTCAGTAACTTTTGCTCTAAAGTGCATAGTTTCCGAGATATAGGCCAAAAAGTTTGTTTCAAGATTGCGCTTGAAGCTCCACCTGGATCTGTCAGCATTTTGTGATTTTATGCTCAGTAAGTGACCCTAAACATGATAACTAGTTTTGATGAAAAGAAAGAGGACGCGCGTATTTTTGGTACGTTACAGTACGTAACGGGTTACATATTGCGACAATGCCAAAAAAATACTAAAATGTGCAAAAATTGTAAAAAAGAACTCATTGAAACTGATACCAAGAGCGGTTACTTAAAATAAAGGGAATATCAAAAACATAAAATGTTATAAACGTACCCTAATGAAAATTTCGTGAAATGATTTCCGAAATACGAGATATAACGCATTATATCTTAAAAAGTAAAAGTCATATTAAAAATTTAAGAAATTATATCAAAATTGTATTATACACAAATATTAATTTTAATTGGATACAATGTCAAAATCACAAAAGTGAAATTATTGAATTTGTGTGCGATTATACATGTCGACTTTTGTGCAACAATTGGTGTCGTAATGTGAATAAATGATTGAACGGTACCAGCAAATGTTTAGATGCTAACGATGTAATACAAAATCTTGCATTAGAATATTGTAAAAAACGTAAATGAAATAAATAAATCATTTGAGTATATCTGTAGTAGTTTTTTCTTTTATCATCCAACTAAAGGAAAAATTTAAACTTAGTAGGCTGGCCGTAATGCTACCTATATTTATTATGTTAACTGTAGTTATACATATATATGCACACCTTGTAGTTTGAAGGATTATCCTAGATGTCGCTGTTAACTCGTGATAGCTGATTACTCTATACCCCTATACATATATAAGTTACTTTATGTCAGTTCCGTTGAAACACTCGACTGTGCACGACCCGTGCGCATTTTCGCGAGTGCTTTGTGTATTGTGTAGTGAAGTGAAAGTGATCATAAAATGGATTTACAATATGACTGGGTAAGTAATAAACAGTTTTAATTTCTTTTAAAGGACAACTGAATAAGATTTTGTATAGAAATTGTTATTTTAACAAACATCACCGCCATTTTACCCGGCAAAATGGCGTCATTCTCGTCGATATTTTTTGTTAACTTTATTATAAACATTATATATAATATACGTTTTATATAATATATTATATACGTAGCCTATTATTGTTATTATTTCTGCTAAACATTTAATTTAAAAACAAATTTCAAAAAAATCCTATTATTGAAATAAAAAAATAGGTGCCGTGCTTTAAAAGATGTCTATATAGACGGGGTATTTCATTTGTTTATATTAGAAATATTTAACTAGTGAAGCGTATCTTTTTGTTGCGCTTAACGACTTTTTAATATAATCATATTTTAGAATATTAATTAGTAAATAAAACTATCTTCTCGGATTATTTCGCGGATTTATTTTGATTTTTGGTTCCCGACGTTTTGAATGCTTTACAGCATCCATGGTCACGGGAGAGACTGAGGTGTTACATGTCTTGAAGGTATAGTTGTTACAGACAGCCTACCCACAATTAAGCCTTTTTCTTAACTTTAAATCTCAAGTGCTTTGTTTATAGTTTGAATTATCGTAAACTAAACACTTGAAACTCTGTCTTTATAAGTAGGTGCTCCATATTACATAAAAGTTATTAGCCTAAGCCACTTGAGCTACATTGTTTTCGGTATTGAAGGGTAATGGTGATTTTTTTTGGCGCGCGCGGGTATAAATAAAACGGTTAAATTTTGTAAGCCTTGTGTGGTGAAAAAAATATATGGAGAGACGTGTTCTTTTTGTTTATTATTGTAAAATAGTGTAGTTATTTATAAATTAAGTGAACTAAAATTTGAAATAATGCTTCTATTTTAAGTTATAAAGATTTTAAGGTAGATTTTTGGTAAAATCGGCGTACCCTGACTTCAAGGTCGATTTAGGTACTTAATCAAAGAAATTCTTTGTTCTTCATTATGAATAGGTAAGTAATGAACAGTTTAAAATATTAGATTATGTATTTGCTAAAGTTTAGGGACAGAAAAAGTGATTTTAATTTCAATAATTTTCTAATCGGTAGCCATTTTGGACGCCACGCCCGCGGACTATCGTTTTAATTCCTTTTATTACTAATAATTAAAAAACTAATGTTAACAACCTGTCATATCACGTATTTTATTATGAATTGTTTAATTGTTATCAAGCATTTAATTTCAAAATTGTATTATAGAATTTACGTAACATTGAAATAAAAAACGAGAATGCTTAATAAGCACGCGTCACAGACCAGGCAATTTACTCGGCCGCCATTTTGTTTAGCTTAGTATGGATTTATATTTTAGTAAATTTTATATTTTAACCGACTTGGAATGAAAGAAGGTTATATAGGTATGTATAATAATAATATGACATGTATTATATTTAGATTGCATCGGAATCGGTTCAGCCTTTCAGACGTATTTAAATTAAGTTTTTATTTTTTTATATTTTAACCGACTTTGAATCATATCAATTTCAAATCATTTAATCTTTTCTAGAAACCAGCAGCCACGTAGACCGCGTACGCGAGGAGGTCCTCGTTCTCGAGGGGGTCCGCGTACACGGGGTGGACGTGTTGGGGGACCACCACAGGTGGACGAGGTGCTTGTGGTGGCTGGCCCCTCAGGGCTGCAGGAACGCGACGTCGCGGTGGCTGGCCCCTCAGAGCTTCAGGCACGGGGCAGCGCGGTGGCCGGCCTGGGTCGTGGACGGCTCCTCAGGCACCAACGCCCGGGCCCATATCATTTAGATGAGATAATATTTTTTTTTCACTTTTCATTTTTTTAAATAGCCTTATTTATTATTTTTGAGTATTACAATGAATCGTTTTGAATTTTAGATTAAACATACGTCAAATAGTTGAGGAACCTTCTGGCCTTGCTTTAGAGGTTCCTATGCGCCCTAGAAGGAATCGCATGTGGCAACCGTAAGTAGTTCTACTTGAGTATCTAATAGATATTATTCTGGTTGTAATACTAATTTTTAACTTTTGTTTTACAATGTCCATCTAGATCCGAAGTACGGTCATCCTCACCCCGCGGCTACTAGCAATGGCGGCAACGCCGCCGGCTTCCCCGAGCGTCGCACCATTGTCGCCAAGCGTGTCGGTGCTATCGCCGGCGATTTAAGTTGCTTACGAACTTTTCTATTTATCTGTAAGGTGCTTTGGATTTATCATAAAAATGGGAATACTGCGAAAATTACAAATTACTAACAAATCAAGCACTGTTGTTTGCACTGGTAACTTTAATAAAGACGCCATCTTATTTCCCACTTATCATCGGTCACGACAAGTAGCTCATAACGAATGAACGTGAGTAAAATTATTTTTTCGTTTACAACGGGTATATACATCGTTTTTTGGATTTTCATAATTACCCCGTGTAATATATCTCAGATGTTTGGTAACTTATGTTGTTCAATATGGAAATACCTCAATGGGGTATGTCCAAATGAAACTATCACAGACGTATCATCGAAATTACCCCAAACTGCTTTTCCAATAGTTCTCAACATAATTACTTATTATTCAAAATCTGAATTAAAAATTAATATTAATTTGTAATATTTGTTACAGAAAAAAATGCCTCGTACATATATTAAAAAAAAATTGCGCCGTACACGCAGGAAGACATAGCCAAAGCGATTCAAGCAGTAGTTAAAGGTGAGATGAGTATGTATGCTGCTGCCAAAATATTTAGAATCCCAACAACTTTATTTGGTAGAAAAAAAAAATCTAGAGCTCCAAAAGTTGGCAGACCATAAGCTATACCATTATCATGCGAACAACGAAAGTGGGGGTTCGGTCTAACGAGACTGAAGGTATTAGCAATTGTTGCTAAGTATGTAAAGAAAAATAATTTAAACACTCCCTTTACTTAGATAGAATAGGTATGTAATGAACAGTTTTTAAATATTAGATTATGTATTTGCTAAAGTTTAGGGACAGAATAAGTGATTTTAATTTCGATAATTTTCTAATCGGTAGCCATTTTGGACGCCACGCCCGCGGACTAATGTTTTAATTCCTTTTATTACTAATAATTAAAAACCTTATTTTAACAACCTGTTATATCACGTATTTTATTAAGAATTGTATTATTGTTATCAAGCATTTAATTTCAAAATTACTTTATAGAATTTACGTAACATTGAAATAAAAAACGAGAATGCTTAATAAGCACGCGTCACAGACCAGGCAATTTACTCGGCCGCCATTTTGTTTAGCTTAGTATGGATTTATATTTTGGTAAATTTTATAATTTTTTATTTTTTTTTAATATTAATATTTCAACCGATTGCGAATAAAAGGAGGCTATCAATTATTTGAATTAATTGAAATTAAATTTTCATATTTTAACAGACTGCGAATAATATCAATTCTTTGAATTACGTAATTTAAATTTAATTTTTATTTATTATTTTTGAGTATTACAATGAATCGTTTCGAATTTTAGATTAAACATACGCCAGATAGGAGATGTGCCTGCTGGCCGTGCTTTGGAGGTTCCCATGCGGCCTAGGTGTCGCATGTGGCTACCGTAAGTAGTACTTGAGTATCTAATAGATATTATTCTGGTTGTAATACTGATTTTTAATTTTTGTTTTACAATGTCCATCCTAGATCCGAAGCACGGCCATCCTCAGTGTCTCCGATCATACCACCACCGTTGTGTTTGCTTTTAAACGGATTTGCATAATTGTTTTTTTTTAGTATTTAATTCAAATTATGTATAAAATGTAATAATCACTAGCAAACCTAATTAAATAAATAAATAAACAAAAAGCTAGTAGATAGTAAAATGTGTTTTTATAGACCATGTTTGTTTATTGATATTTTTTCATTGATTCATTTTCATTGCAGATTGACTGCGTTTTCACTGATTGAGTTTTCGTAGCAAGATTAAACAGTCATTTGTCAGGCGTCGAGGACGCTTCCAAAATGTTACTGATGCTGAGCATGCACTTTATAAGAAATTGCTTCAAGTAATAGTTAAACTTAGCAAATGCCGCAGTAAAATTAAAAGACAAACTGACAAATTAAAATGCTACAAAACATTACCACCAACTCTAAGTTTGTAAAAGTTTTGGAAAACTTGTCAAGTGCAGCAAAAATATTTACTTTGTTGCAATTCTGAGAGTGCAAGAAGAAGGAAAAAGGCCGTCATTTCTCTCTGCAAGACAAAAAATATGGCTTTAACTATATTAAAACAAAGTCCCAAAGGATACAGATATTTAAGAAAAATATTTGTATTACCATCTTGCCAAAAACTTATCAAATTGTTGCACATGGCGAACATAGATGCAGGCATTAATAAAACTTTGTTTGAACAAATTAAAAAGGCCACTGAAAAAATGAAAACGGAACACAAACTGTGTATCATACTATTTGACGAAATGTCACTAAAACCAAACGTGGCATATAATGAAAGGAAAGATATGGTGAGTGGATTTGTCACAAATGGCGAGGAAAGGCAGCCTATATATGCAGATCATGCCCAGGTCTTTATGATTCGAGGGGTTATAAAAATTATAAACAACCGATTGCATATACTTTTTCACAATCTGCAACAAAAGGCCCTGAAATAGCAAAACAGCTAAAACTTGTAGTCACACAATTGCAAGAAGCTGGCCTTATAGTTGTGGCAACCGTGTGTAAGCAGGGCACAAATAATGTCAATTGTATAAAATATCTTTTAGAAGAAACACGTGGCACTTTACTGAGAAGGGGAGAAGAGCATATTAAGGAAAATATAATATTAATAAATATGGAGTCACATCGGTGTGGTTGCGGGATCTAAATCAGGATTCGTTAGAAAAAATGTTTGGGTCCATAAGAAGCCACGTATGCCGCAACGTCAATCGAACTGCGTAAAAATTCGAGGCCGCGTTTTCTACCCTCTTGGTAAATAACATATCTAGTGTTCATGCCCCAGGAGCAAATTGTAAAATTGACGACTGTTTCGTCTTGCACGAAGTTCTCATCACCGGTGGCGAGGGCAGCAAAAGACACTATATTTGAGAACAAATCCCAGATATTACACTCACACCCCTTGAAGAAAAAAATGACCCCCGCGAAGTAGGAGGACTACAATATGTAAAGGGATATTTTTTTAAATATTTAAAAAAAAAGTTTTCAAGGGGTGTGAAATATGTAAAAAAGATTTATGTTCTGAAAATGAATGGGGTTATTTAAGATATAGGGAATACGCAAATAAAAAGTGTCGTTGCTGCCCTGGTAACTGTCTTATAAATTGTGTATCAAATCTACAGGATATAAATATGTCAATAATATTAAAAGAAAATTTAAATAAGAATAATTTACAACAATTATTAAAAACAATGATTTTTATTCACATAAATTTTGATTTTCTTAATTGTGAAGTGCACAAAGAAAACCTAATATTTTATTTAATAAAATTTTTATTTGCAAAATATATTATTTATTTCTTTACAGTAATTATATATAAAGATTTTTTATATATAATTACTGCAAAGAAATAAATAATATATTTAGTCAAACAAAAGGCAGTGCGACGATGATGAGGACTTGTTTAAAATAAACGCTAAAAGAATGGCTATGAAATGTTTAAAAGAAAAATAAATAATTAAAATATCAAAAATTGTTTTATTTTTTGTTATTATAATACTCATTTTCTTTTTCACTAGCAGTTTTTGTCTCAATATTTGAAAACGAATTCCTTTATTCAAATATTTGGGCTGCTGCTAGCGAAAAAGTATTATATACCTTCTAAAAATATAGCGTGTAGAAAATCACACCTACAGTCTACAGATAGTTATACATATATATATACTCGGGGAGTAGTATCAAAACTTGATATCAGAGGGCGTTACTTTCGTGTTTCCAATAATATGCATTGAGAGCGACCTCTATTCCTAGTATATATCAATGTACTCTGTGGTTACCATGGACTTATTAAACAAACAGGACCGATAACTCTGAAAATTTGCGTTTTCAAAAATGAACTCTATTTCAACGCGTTAAAGTCTTATATTCGTTGCGCCTTACACAGAGGCTAATCCGAGCCGACAGGGACAGCCATAACGGAGGCCTTGTGTCTCGTTCTTTTATCTCGCCAGCATAAAAATGATTCAGGTTTAATATTTTGCTTGATCAAAAAGGCATTTGTATACTTGTATTTTAATGTTATGATATAAAAAATTACTGATAAGCAAATTATAGTTGCATTTGAATATTTTCTTTGAGTATTTTCTTTAATTAAAAAAGGTAACGTAAATTATTATTTTGCCTATTTTTTAATTATTATGGTAACCCTGTAAAGCGTCCCTGTCATGGCGTCCAGTGAGATTAGCATTGTTTAAGTTCATCGCAATCATTCGATATTAAAACATAAGTCCATGATTAAAACCAATTCTAAAGCGTATCATCAGTTAAAATGGTAAAAAAGTGTTGCGTTTATACTTGTTCAAGTCAATCATATAGTGGTTGCAATGTATCGTTTCACAGGTAAGCTAAAAATAACATTAATTGAAAATCTTACAACTATGGTGACCATGAATTCCTTCCTTTAAAGAAAATTCTCATTGTTTGGTCGAGTAAGGTCCTCCTAACTGTTATACTTCTATTACAGTTTCCCACGAAATGAAGAAATGCGACAAAAATGGCTCAGCAGTATACGCGTGAAGCAAAATATTACAAAAAATTCTGTCGTATGCAGTCGTCACTTCAAAACTTCCTGCTTTTATCCTGCTAATTCCCGTCAATTATTAAAAGCCGATGCTATACCAACTATTTCTCCCGTGGTAAGAATGTTACTTTTTAAAACTTTAATTACTAAATTTTGGCATAATTTTAAGGTTCCGTAGTAAACTACAAGGAACCCTTATAGTTTCGTTATGTCCGTCCGTCTCACACTGGAGCTTCTCCATTCAATTTTGGAATAATCACCAATCATAAATGTCATAATATCTTTTTTTGTAATCGTTCACATATTTTAGTTTTTTTCAAATTTATGCAAAGTTTTCTAACAACCCTCACATAGTTTTTTTTACGAAATACCTAAAATGTAGGTATTTCGTCGAAAATCAAGTTTTGAGTGGTCTCTTGTATGGAGAGGCCCCAGTGGGAGTCCGTCCGCGGGCTAGCCCTCGCAATATTGGTATTATTACATATTGGAAATATGTCACTTTTGCTCAAACAGTTTGCCGGCATTTGTACAGGCGTTGTAGGTTCTTTAGCATAGTGTGTACTAATTATTTATGTGTATTTTGCTGAAAACCACGTAACGCTTTTAGTAAGATTTTATTTAAGTTTGGTAGTCTTATCAAGGACAGCCAACAAAGCGTGTTACAAACACGCTTTGTATATGTAATATTATACATTAGTTTTATTTAGATGAATTTGAGCAATGACTTTTAGATTAGTATTATTTGTATTTCATAAGCTCCAAGAAATATTTTGGTTAATCGTTTACAAAATTATTTTTTAAGTTTCAGTATGCTTGATGCGTAATTTTATGTTTATTTTACAGGTCAAAAATAAAAAAATAGAAGTTCTCAGTGATATATTGCTGCAACAACCACACACAGTCACCTCTGAAGAGGAAATCTTACATCCTGCTACCTCTTTGGAAATACCTGTTATAGCTGGGACAAGTTCAAGCAATATAGAAGAACCTCCAAGGAAGAAGCTCTGTTCAAACGTAAAGGAAGTTGGTGTTCAAACTGTATCTATTAAATGTATTAGCCCCGTAAAAGATGTTTTAAAGAAAAAGGTAAAAGTTTTGTCACAAAGGCTAAATAGGCGTAATAAAAAAATTAAAAACTTACAATCGCTTTTACTATTACTCAAGAAAAAGTGTAACAATTTTGAAGAGGTAGAACAAAATATTAAAAATAATTTTAGCAACATCCATACTCTACTGAATACAGATAAAAGCAACAAAGGTCAAAGATATCCCGATGAAGTAAAAAAAATTGCTTTGTCTTTATACTTTTATTCGTCAAAAGCGTATTTATTTCTTAGAAATCATATTAGTTTGCCCCATCCTGTAACTTTGCGTAAAATGCTTGCCACTCATGAATGTAACGTTGGCTTTATATCGGAAGTTTTTGAATATTTAAAACTATCAGTTACAGAACATGATCTGCAAAATGTAGCATTAATATATGATGCAATGTCAATAAAGTCTGAAGAGGTCTACGAAAAGTACAAAGACAAAAAGTGGGGGTATGTCGATTTGGCTGGCATTATCACTGAGAGCCAGTCCACACGGCGCGTTGCGTCAGCGTTGCGTCGACGCAGCGCTACCACTGCGTTGTTTTACATACAAATAACCAAGGTGTTCACACGGCGCGCTGCGTCGTCGCAACGCACACATGACGGACAGCAGCCCCCGAGACGAAGCGGGAGGGGGTGTACTCGTGCGACGTCGGAGCGTCAGCGCTCAGTTGCTTGTGCGTTGACAGAGAGGATACACGGAAGCTCATTTCGTTTTACGTTTACGTTTTTGTATTTAGTTTTATTTGCAGGGTAATTAGTTTTATTTGCAGGGTAAAATGAATACCATTGAAGAAATTGACATAGATTACTTGATTACATTGATACAGGAAAGGGAAATTATATGGGACAAGTCAAACGTAGATTTTAAAAATAAAAATTTAAAAACAAAAGCCTGGGAAGACATATCAAAAGTTTTATTTCCTGATTACGAGAATTTCACAGCTGAACGAAAAAATAAAGTTGGTGAGTTCACAGTACAGATATTTATGTTTTTTTTATTTAAGAGGGCTTTCAAGATTTTCTTGCACCGCCAATTCCGCGATCAGTACAAAATTAATATCTCGACACTCTAAAATTTTAAAACTTAGGGAATTTAGATTAGCGTGAGTACTATTTTATTACTTAGCTCAAAACTAACCTAGACTACGCTGAGTAGGTATAAAATATTATTTTTTTACTGATCGCGGAATTGGCGGTGCAAGAAAATCTTGAAAACCCTCATAATACAATTATACCTTATTTAGCTGCCAAGGCAGAGTTCCTCTAGTCATAAAATAGGTCGCATATTGCTGTCTTATGACATTCGGTGCTGTCTGTTCTTCATGTACGGGTTGTATTGGGAGAAATTCATCAACACTTATAGCAAATTTATCTCTTTGTCTAAAACCATCTCGATCAGCGACAAAATTGTGTAATACACAACATGCTTTTATAATGTCAGTAGCGAAGTCATAGGACACGTCTATCGGTCTGTGAAAAATGCGCCATTTGTTAGCCATAATCCCAAAAGCGCATTCGACATATCTTCTGGCTCTGCTTAGACGGTAATTGAAAACCTTTTGTTGTAAGTCGAGATTTTGACCGCCATATGGACGCATAATATGTTTGCTCAGTCCAAAAGCTTCGTCACCCACAAATACATACGGGGTTGGTATATTGCTACCAGAGAGTGGCTGGGGTTGAGGTAGTGGTAAGTTGTTGTTAATCATTAGCTCGTACAGTTTAGAATTTTGTAATATGGTTGAATCGCATTCTTTTCCGTATGCACCGATGTCGACAAATACGAATTTGTAATTTGAATCCACAATAGCTAGCAACACAATCGAAAAAAAGGCTTTATAATTAAAAAAAAGTGAGCCACTATTTGCAGGATTACACACGCGGATATGTTTGCCGTCGATGGCACCAACACATTGAGGAAAATTTGCCTTTACATCAAAACCCCTCGCTATTGTTTGGAAACTTTCAGTTGTCAGTTCAGGGATGTTGTCTCGAAGAAGATTGGTCCATATAGCACGACAAACTCTTTGTATTATATATGCAATAGTAGATTTTCCCCGTTTGAATTTGAAATGTAAATCAGTTATTGAATTTCCACTTCCTAGGTATCTGAAAAGAAAATAATTATTATAATATGCATTTATGAGATAGATAGATACCCGAAAAAAAATACTGACATATTCAGACATCGATAGCAAATAACTTTCTCTATGTAACCAATTAATTCTGGAATCGCGAAAAAAATAGCAGCTGTTGCATACATTTTGATTCAGTAGGTATTGCTTTTTGTATGTAACAGCTGTTATATTTTCACGATTCCAGAGTCGGTCACATAGTGTTTGTTAACGATATCTGAATATGTCATTAAATTTTATCGAGAAATTCACTATGTATAAATTATTAAATCATGTTTACTATTGGTTTTGCAGGTAATGATTTAATAAAAAAATGGAGAAGTGTAAAAGATAATTACTTCAGATATTCAAAAAAATTAAAAGAAGCATCAAAATCGGGCTCGGGCGCTACGAAACTGAAGAAGTATCATTTATACAATCAACTCCTTTTTTTGAGAAAAGTGGAACAAAATGCCACCGAATCTAGCTTAGACTCGCCTAGAGAAATCAACAATGAATCTACGTCTACAAATGATGACATTACCACAGACAACACTCCGCGCTATGTTCCAGTCGCGCGCAAAAGGGCAATGCAAATGGATGAGTTTTGAAAGAGAAGGACTAAAACTTCTCAAGGAGCCGGAAAATCGCCATATGTCCTTTTTCAGAGCTATATTGCCATCTATTCAAGAATTTTCCGACCGAGAAACTCTCCGTTTCCAAAGTAAAGTTATACAAATTATAGATGAAATGCGGTATGGACAAACATCATCATATGTGAGTGGCCCATCAACGTCTCACCAACCACCATATGGGTATCAAACAGCAAATTTTCAAAGTACATACATTTCTGATTTTAATAATTCAATTACATCTCCAGAAACATCTCAAGCAAGTGAAGAAACTGAATACGATTTTTCTAATTTGTAATTACTGGATGATATCTCTCTTAAATAATGTCTAAATTTAAAATTATGACAATTGCTGATTATTTGTGAGTTGATTACTCTCTTAAATAATGTCTAAATTTAAAATTATGACAATTGCTGATTATTTGTGAGTTGATTACTAATTAAACAAACCAAAAAAAACTGTTATATTTTTATTACTTAAATATATTTATATAGTTACCTTAAAGTGATTCCCAGCATTTCTACTGGTTCCACTGGATTCCTCATATTAGTATAGTTTTTTCGTATGTGTGGTTCTAAGGACTTCAATAAACATTCGAAGCTGGATACACTCATTCTAAAAAAATTATAAAAGTTCTTTTCGTCTAATAGCAACTCCCGATATTCAAAAAAAAAAAACTGTCCATCACGATTTCTTAATGAAATGAAAGGACTGATCCAGTACCGTCTTGTGATCTTGCGTCGATTTCGGCGGTGACGTAGTAATAGGAGCAATGCTAGACGTCTTTTCCGATCCATGATTTGCTATAGACTGACTGCGAATTTTTTTCAAAATACTTGCCGCAACTGTGCGTCGCCGCTGCGCCGACGGAACGTTGACTGCGTCATAGTAACGCTGCAGCGCCCGTGTGGCCGGCTATGCGTCAAAATATTTGCGTTGCGACGACGCAACGCAACGCAACGCGCCTTGTGGACACGCTCTGATGAATGAGAACGGCTAGCTACTGAGGTATTGGTTTTGCAAATAGTCTCATATAAATGTAAATTCAAATGCCCTATTGAATATTTCTTTGTTAATAAAATCTCAGCTGCCATACAGTCCCAATTAATATTTACAGCTATATGCATGTTACATGATATAGGAATAACAGTTCGAAGCCTTACCTCTGATGGGACAAATGTCAATGTAACAACATATGAAAAGTTGGGCTGTAATTTTAGCAATACAGATATGATTACCAATTTTAAGCATCCCAAACAAGACAGCAGAATACACTGTATTTTTGACCCAGCCCACATGATAAAACTGTGTAGGAATATTTTTGCAGAGACAAAGTTAAGTTCTCCTAAGGGTGATATGGATTTTACCTTTATTAAAAAATTGCACATGCTACAAGAGGAAGAAGGCTTAAAACTCGCCAATAGATTAATCTTAATTTTATGGGGAAAAAAATGAATGTTAAACTTGCGGCACAGACATTCAGTTCTTCAGTCGCTGACGCCATTGACTTTTTAAGAAGTAGTACGTAGTTACGCTGATGCATATCCTACAACCAAAGTCAAGCGGTATTGTAAAATTAATAGGCGGAAAATTGATGTTGACTATCCGAACATTGTAAAGCATTACAATGCCCATATGGGCGGCGTTGATTTGGCGGATATGCTCATAGCGCTATACCGCACAGAAATGAAAAGTAGGCGCTGGTATCTCTCCATATTTTCGCAGTTACTAGACATCTGCGTCAACAATGCTTGGTTGATGTATAGGCGAGATAGTACAAGGAAAAGAATCAAAAAGGTTAAAACTTTAAAAGAATTTCGGCTTGAAATTTATAGAGCTTTGCTTCAGAAAGGAAAAAATGTAGATACAACTACAATAAAAGATTTGATCCCTGAAGAAAACAATAAAAAACCCAAAACGTCCCAGGCCTGTAGATGATATCAAATATGATAATGTCGACCATTTCCCTCAGCATGGTAAGGAATATGGTCGATGTGCTTACTGCAAAAAAGGTTTCACTACAGTTTATTGTATTAAATGTAACGTTAGGCTATGTTTCGTGAAAGATAGGAACTGTCACTTTAATTATCACCATAATTAACCATACTTACTGTGTTTTGTTTCAATAAATAATTGTTTTAATCATTTTTATTTTGTTTCATTTAAAAGTGTAATAAGCTGGATTTTTTAAGTATACTCAACAGTTACATTAAGATCATATTCGTTAACCGTCGAATTTTGTTGAGTATACTTAACATCGTTTTTTCAGGAAACCCTTCAGCCAAGATTTTTTAATTTATTTTTCCCTTGTGTTTTGAATGCTTATGAACATAATATATTAATGATATCTTCCTACTGCAACTTTTTATGTCTTGCCAAATTAAGGGTTAAGATTTAGGTTTATATAAGATTATTTTGATCTCAAAGTTTAGTAATACCTAAGATTACATAAATAAATACATTTGTATCTTGAATAAGTTGTTTTTTTTAATCAATTTTACCAAAACCCTCAAAATTCCCAAAGTAGGGGCAAGACGATTCCTAGGATCGTCTTGCCCACACCCTGAGGATCATCTTGGATACCGGGGTGTCCAAGATGATGCTTTTGCAAAGATTTAAAAATAGTGAAATATAACCATGAAAACATTTTTTCTTGTTTGTTTTGATTTTGAAAACCGGTAGATCGATAAATTTGCTATCATAAACTGCTTTTACATCCTATTTAAATTAAATATTATTGAAATTACAAGCAATCTCCCTTAGGGGAATCATCTCGTACACCTTTCCCCTACTATTATATTTATTCGTATCAGTAGTTAAAAATATACGATTTTATTTCATATATCGTGATTTCTTATTAAAAAAAACAGTAAATCGCATCAGTGTCTGCTTTATCTCCTATTGCAAAAATATATCGCTATGGACGGACGCGACCAAGTCGATGTGATTTACACTGATTTTGAGAAAGCCTTTGATCGCGTAGACCACATAATTTTACTACAAAAGTTACATCAGTTAGGAATACAGGGAAATCTTTTTAGATGGTTTACATCATATATTAAAAATAGAATGCAAGCAGTAATTATAGGCGATGCTAGAAGCAACTTCACGTGTGTACCTTCTGGTGTACCACAAGGTTCAGTACTGGGGCCTCTCCTATATAATGCATATCTTTATGATATAGATAAATGCTTTAGGCATTCACAATTCTTAATGTTTGCTGATGACAAAAAAATCTTTCTTAAGGTCAAAACTATTGAAGATTGCATAAAAATACAAGAAGACTTAAACACACTAGCCCATTACTATGAAATAAATAGGATCAAGGTAAATGTTAGTAAGTGTCATCACATAACTTTCAGTCGAAAAGAGAGACCCATCTATTACAACTATAATATTAACGGAATATCCATCGAAAAAGCTACCTCTGTAAAAGATTTAGGTATTACACTTGATCAGAAACTATCCTTTTCGGAACATTACGACATAATAATAAACAGGGCATACAAACAGCTTGGATTCATTAAACGAGCTACACAAAATTTCACGAATACAGAGTATATTAAACTTCTTTACTTTACGTATGTACGAAGCATTTTAGAATATGGCAGTAACATCTGGTCACCTTATTACCAAATACATATCAAAAGACTTGAAAATATACAAACTAAGATCATAAAATATTTACAATTCAAGGATTTTAAATACTTTGATACAAACCAAAGTGCATACAAACACTATGGCATTAAAATACTTGAACATAGACGCACACAAAGTGACATTACTTTGTTACAAGCAATTTTAACTGGCAGAATTGATTGTCCTGACTTGCTGTCAAATATATCACTACTTGTCCCAAAATTAAGAACGCGACATACCGCCCAATTATACGAACCACCAAAAAAACACTATATGCTAAAAACGGCATCATACCGCGTCTGACACGAACCTATAACAAATATTACAGCGACTTAGACATATTGAATCTCTCTAAACACGCTCTTGAAAAAAAAGAAAATGCTTAATGACTTCATATACCCATAATCTATATAAATAGGTGTACACAACTGTAAAAATATCCGTAACTACCATAGACCCGTACAGTTACACATAACACAGAAACACACATATACTCACAAATACACACACACACACAACAAACGAATGCACATACACACACACACACACATACATACGTACACACCCGCACATACATGTAAACACATTATGTTTGATGTGCATATCAGTAGTATGATCAATTTAATTTATTCAGACTTTTTTTTCTGTAGGTGACTTATACGTAATATATTTAGTTTATCATATTTATATATTAACTTTCCAAAACATAATATTTATAATTTATTTAATATTTAATTTACGTATTAATATCATATAAACATACACCTACATTCATACAATACAAATATTTAATTATTTATATTTATAAATTAATATTTATTCATATTTATTTTTATTCACAAGCATAACCGCGCGAAACCCGTAGTATACGGCGGAACGGAATTTATTTGTCTCCTACCGGCCAATAATGATTTTTCTAACATACGACAGTCGACGCCTTACCAGCTGATGCTACTTACTAGTTTTACATTATTTAATCATTTTCGTTAGTTTTTGTATGTGGACTTCTTGTGTTTGTACTTCTAACGTGTGTATTACTGTGTATCTTCCTAAACTTCTCCTTCTGAACTATTTTTACGTGCGTGTTGACTTTTACAATATATTATTTTATCAAGTGACGATATTTAGACTTTCATTCGTGTTTTCTCTCGTCACGACCAACAACAACCGCTACACTGGTGACCCCTATAGTGCACGCCACAGACCCTTGGAGTATGAGTAGTGGAAGTGATTCGGCAACCTCGCACGTTACCACTCGACCGCGTGCCAAGATGGCGACGCCCGTAAAATGCGCCCCGACACCTCAGACGCCCCCGCAGATCAGGTCACTACCCTTTTGGCCTGAAAAACCTGCCATCTGGTTTGCGCAAATAGAAGGTCAGTTCAGATTATACGGTATTACTGACGATGCTACTAAATTCTACCACGTACTGTCAACATTAGATAGACAGTATGCCGCAGAAGTTGAAGACGTCATCACCGGCCCACCCGATTACAATCGCCTTAAAGCAGAACTTATTAAGCGGTTATCAGTATCACGCGAGAATAAAGTGAAGCAGCTGTTAATGCACGAACAGCTAGGAAACAGAAAGCCATCGCAATTTCTGCGTCATCTGCAGCACTTGGCTGGACCAGACATACCTGGAGAATTCCTGCAAACTATATGGACCAGCCGCTTACCAGTAGAAATGCAGCCCATCATAGCCTCGCAACCAACTCTGCCCCTAGACGCGTTGGCAGAGCTCGCAGATAGGATACATGACATAGCAACCCCAGCACAACAGGTAGCTGCCACATCATCGTCATGTATCGAATTGCTAACACAACAAGTCGCCGAGTTAACAAAACAGGTTAGTGCGCTCACTGCCAAAGTCAACGAGAGGTCACGACCTCGCGACAGAGGTCACAGACGACATCAAAGCCGGTCACAATCAAGACGGTCCACTTCGAGTCACCGACGGTACCCAACGTGTTGGTACCATAGTAAATTCGGCTCGAAGGCAAGAAGCTGCATCCAACCCTGTGACTTCAAGTCGGGAAACGCCCCGAGCAATCAGTGATGGCGACAACCGATTGCCCTGCTTCCCCTAGTCGCCTCTTCGTGACCGACCGCACTTCGAACACGCAGTTCCTGGTAGACACTGGCAGTGACATTTGT